GACTTGCGGGCACGCTCCAACCAACCATCCTCCATTTCGATGGTTAAACTACCTGTTCATTCATGTTGTTTTATCAAGAGTCGGCATCAATATTGAAGGAATATTCAGTTTTTGCAGTCTAAGTGGTTTTAGAAAGATTGCTTAAAGGAACATTCAGAGTGGGTTCCCATGTGGATGGGAGATGTCTTACCAGACGGCAACTCTTGCAAGTCATGTGAAGCATATATGTAGGACGAGCATTTGCAGACTTCTTTTTTGGAAAGGCTTGGGAAGAGGCCCCAGGATCCAGAAACGAAGCTGCTCAAGAAGCTACCAAAGCGCCGTTCAGTCGTCGCTTGCTCCAGCCTTTCGCCCTTTCCGGGGACGACGACCGGGACCAGAACCACCGAAACACAGCGATCAGCGACACGAGACGACGGCGCAGGAAGTGATTGTGGAAGTGCCACAGGTGCAGGTCGCGGAAGTGATCCGTGAAATGCCCAAGGAAATGACCCAGCAAATTGTCAAAGAAGTGCCCAAGCACCTTGGCAAGTGAACAAAAATCTGGCCCGGACGGGCACGGACAATGAGGCTTTTTCACTAGCTCCAGAAGTGTTTTCCAATGTTCTTTTCTCCCATAACGGGTTTTCCTGCTTCCGTGCATCATCGAGGGGCGGCGGGAGAAAGCTGGCAGAGTCCGTTGCTTCGCATGGGTTCCCGGCGCAAGAATGGATGAGTTTTGCACTTGGTTGTTCGCATTTAAGGATCCTGGCGGCTTGAAGAATGGAAAGAAAGGGATCAGTGCATAGTCCCCCTTGAAACCTTGATGGGGACGCGAGTTCCAGCGCGATACGACTCACCCATCCCATCGAAGGTCTCTTGAACAGTTCTCTCTCACCATGTTTCACTCATCACAATAAAGAATCACACCAACAACTTGAGGCTGGCGACTGGAGCTATTTGGTGCTTTTTCTTCTTTCGGAAAGCAAGAACGTTGGATTCCTGTTGGATTCCTGAGCTGTTGGATGCACCTGAACGTACTCCCTTGGACTCCTTGGATTCCTCGTTCCCACTGGTGCCCAAAGGATTGGAGATCGTCCCACGAGGTGAATCTGTCGTCCCCCACAGCTGCAGCACTTTGCCCAGGTATCAAATGGAGTACGCAACTTGGTGCCGGTTTGGGCGGAAGAGGTGACAAAGGCATATAGTCTTTTTTGTGAAGGTCTTGTGAGCCAGCGATGACCTACCACTGTTTCGTGTCGTGTCACGCATTTTGTGGATGGTGCGCTTCCTTTAAAAGAAATAAGCCATGCCCTACTAGCTGTTCAATAAACACACCCACTAGGCAGTTACTCCCCTGCAGATTCACATGGACCCCCTAAACCACTGGGTTGGTCGAAACGGTGTCAATGGTCTTCCACCACCACCAGGTGAAAAACCTCAAGTTCCATGATGTTCCATGGAATCCTTTGTTGGGGGAGTTACATGGGTTTACGGCCTTGTGCACCCTGCTGTGGTGGGGCCATGTGCCACTGGGCGGAGGCTGCGGAGGCCATGTTGGTGTTCTTTTTGCGCTTCAAGCCCGCTTCGTTTGGCCGTCGGTGTTCGAGTAACAAGAAGCTATATCTAGTAGTTTGGAGGCCATCGCTATCAGGTTGGAGGCCATTACTAGTATAGTAACATGTAGTAACAAGAGGCTACGAGGTGGAGGCCAGCGCTATTATTGGGATGTTTGTTGGCACTCTGGGAATTACCCTGTTTACATGTCCACTGTTCCTTGAATCCGCTGGTGTTTCGCTGTTTGGACCGCTTGGGGACAGAAGGCGCCGTGGGGGTTGGTTTTTGCGCCTGCAACACCTTTTTGGGGGATTGGGGACACCCCATTCAAGATGAATAGACTTTGGACTGGAAAAAGGTGAACCAGAACTTGAACCAGACTGCTTTTGTTGCGAAGGAAACTGAGGGAGCCAGCTTGAGGGAGCCTGTAGACTTTTGATGAATAACACCCCAATTTGGATTCAAAAGCCTCTTGATATAGGGTCTACTAAGATCACAATCCTACATCATTTGTGGGTCATTGGTGGGTCCTCTTGCATGTTCGCCTCGTTTATCAAAATGCAAAACTTGGGTGGGCCAAAGGCGTGCTTGGTTTTGCTTGGTTGGATTCAATTCGAATGCTGATGAGTAAAACTCATTTGATTTGGATTGAAAAAACATGTTCATATTGTGTCTTTTGTGTGTCTTTCTTGATCAACATTCTACATTAAAAATACGTGTGCAAAACAAATGAAAGAACAAACAGACGGGAAGGCGCGTGTCCTTAAACGGGAAGGCAACATGTCGATCTATTTGGGCCTTCCGAAGAAGTTCGGCCGAAGACAAAAGATTGAATGGGAACATTTCAACTGCCACGAAGAAGTGTTTCTTGGTGTGTGTGTGTCCTACAATGTCTCCTAAGTTTTATCCACAAGAGAATGAGGGGTAACCGGGTAACCGGGTAGGGCATTGCTTAGCACACCCCCACTCACCGCTGATGGAACAACATCCTACACTCCTTTGTTTCTACTCGATCCTAATCCCAGGTTTGCATAGCTTTTGTGTAAACTGGGGCCCGCCTTCTAGGAATGTTGCATCCCTGCCCCTAAAGCAAATCCAAGTACGTACAGTGATTCTATGTGATTCTAAAGTCGATAAAGAAATCCGGAGAGTTGATTTATTGCATGTTATGAGTGTGTGCAATCCACTCTTGAATCACTGTAATTGAAGCAGAGTTAGTTATGTCCGTGAAAAGGATACAGGGACATGCTGAACCCAACATGTTAAAATTGCTGTATATATATATATATATAGTTCAAATTACAATTATTGACCTTCCACTGTGATTCCACAGGCAGTCTTTGTCAGCCAGTCTCAGACAGATGCTAGGGCTTGGAAATAAGAATGCAATGGAATGCAGGAGATGGTAGGAACCAGACCATTTGGATGATTTTTTGATAGGTATCCCTACAAGTCCGAAGACCCAGTAAATTCTAGTCTTTTACATCCTTTAAGTCCTGTTTTTGGTATGACCACGTCCAGTAAAGTCAGGTCATTGACCGACTCTGGGGCCCCAAACACTCCCAGACACTCCATGTTTGGTTCCCCAAAAAACATCACCCCAACTGATCGGCATCTATGGCAGTCCCATGGGTCGTGTCAGTCGTGTCTAAAGATACTGCGGATCGTTCTCCAGACACGTCGGACGTGTATACCGATGTTTTGCCACGCCGCGTGGACTCCGCGTGGTTTGCCGCGTGGACTCCGCCAAGGTCAACAAAGTGTTGGAAGCTTGTGACTGATTGGAAGTGGTTGGTTTGTTGGTCTCCAGAGGTTTTTTTGAATTTGCTTTTGAAATCAGCCACTTACTTCTTATTCCATTAAAAAGCAAACTATCCCAGGAAGTGAAGCCGCAACGCTATGAGTCTGGCTCTCCCATGCGCAGTGCCCGCACCGTGGCGGGCGCCAGCGGCTATGGGCCCTTGCTGGGCAGCGGCCGGACGGTGCCAGTGGCCACTGAGCCTAGCATGGGCGTGGGCACGGCTGGGCGGGCAGTGAGCTATGGCATGCAAAGCGCCTCCTCTGTGGCTGGGCGCTTTCTGTGGTCGACTTTTAGGGGGTTCAAGGAGTGTTCAATCCAGTTTGAAGGGTGAAGGAGACAGATGCTACAAGGAAGATCATTGTAACAAGATGTATCGGTTTTTGCTTTTGGCTATCTAATCGATGCACAGATGCTGTTCTTCTTCAACGTCAAGACCCAACAAAAAACCCTCTCAGGCCATCAGTGCGTCCTCCTTTCGGGTGGCGCGTCCTCCTGGCTCGGCAATGGACGCCTTTAGCGCCCTGGACCGGAACGGCGACGGCGTCATCACCAGGGAAGAGTGGGAGGCTGCCAGAGGTTAGCCTGACGCTGCCGGCAGAATCTTTTTATGCTGCACCGTGGCATCAGCCCTGGGCCGGACACAAAATCGTGATCAGCTCAGGAAAGAATGCCTGGAAGGTCAATGCTTCTGTTTTTAAATGATTTGTATTGAGGATGTAGGGATTCAGGGTCACTTCAGACATGTTCAAACCCAGCATTGGCCCGGATGGTTTTTTCTGTCAATGCTTCACATCGACACGGTCTTCGGGGTTTGCCTCGAAGAATCGCATCGTTTGCCGCTACGCCGCTCTATGAGGCAGAAAACGAGGGTGAGACGGGGTGTGCGGAACATGGCCCGGCCGCGGATCACGTCGGATCGGCCATCTTGGCCGGTCCGGTTCCAATCCAGCTGTGGGATGTTGGACGGTTTGCCCAGCATGTCCAAATACATAAGCACCCCTTGGTCACAGCGCGTGGGTTGGTCTCTACAGCCTGCAGAAGGTGTTCGGTTGTTCGGCGGTTCCTTCTTCCATGGGTATCGAAGACGGGTGAACCATCTGACATCACAGGGCATTGCTTCTCTTGTTTTCGTTACACCCGGGAAAAGACCCTCATGGAACCTGATGGCATGAACCTTTGAAAGATTGTTTCCTCTACAACCCAGTGGTTTGAGGGTTCCATGCAGGTCTTTTCCAGGGCGTAGGCAATCTTGATTATTGGGCTGGCTGGTTGATCCCAAGTTAGCAGGACTGCCCTGAAAGTCCAACTTGCTCAAATAAGTTGATGAGTCGAAGGTGCGAAAGCACTCTTGCAGACAGTTCCCACTGCAGTCTACTGAGCTGGCAGTCTAATGGGCTGGTTCTGCAACAGATGATAGTAGAAAGACTGGTGAATCCTGCAATTGAACACCCGCGAGCCTTTGCACGCCTTCTTGTGCATTCGCCCCTTGACACACGACAGAGAAAATCGAACAATAATAAATACCTTGTTCTACATACATGGGTGTTGGATTCCCTGGTGCTATTCAAGACTGTCCCACATATATATATATATATATTATATAGAGATACATGTCAGAGACTCCTCAATCTTGTGAATAGCATGGCCAACTGCATCTCTCCAGGAGAGCGGATGTTCAGGCAGATGGTACATCCGAGCTGTCTCCACGCACGAAAGAGGCGCGTGGGCGTGTGGGTGGCACTGCTTAAGTAGGCATTGGGAAAGGTGTATTATGAACGAGTAACGTGCGTTCTGAAGTTCTAGCCTGACCCTGAGAACCCTTGAAGGTGCCTTGGTTTTGGTCCATATTGGTCCATGAATGGAGGTGGACAAACATGCTGGAAGGGTATTACAGACAGGACAAGGTGATGAGGTTGTGAGTGTTGAACCTGTTCTTGAGCTAGAGAGATCCAAGTCGTAGTTATACAATACCCAGCAAGTCCAAAGGACGGGTTAAACTGGTGCGTTAGCGTAAAGGACGCATTTCACCTCCCAACTTCCAAGACCAAATTTTCACAGGTTTGTCACGGCCTTTCACCCTGTTTTAACGTGCTTTTCGCTGGTTTTTCAGACGTCCTTTTCACGGGTTTTTCATGGCCTTTTCAAGCTTCCAGCTCCCGTTTTGCTAAAGCACCGGTTGAACCGGTGCGTTACTAAAGGACTGGTTAAACTGGTGTGTTGACCCACTGGGGTATATACTGTTTGACATATTACGCACACACATATATATATATATATATTGTATATATATATATATATAGCATCCCGTGATCTACAAAAGATCACCTGGCTTTTTGCTCATCTCCTTGACAATTCGCACGAAAGCAGTCTTTAAGTCCGTGCTTAAAGCCCCAGTAGTCAAGGCTTGAAGAACCTCAAGGGGGGTGAACACAAACGAAGAAAAGGGATGCTATGAGATGATTCCACCTGGCCTCAGGCGCTGGCACGCTTGGGTATCAGACCATGCCCTCAATGCCGTGTGATGATCCAGAAGCAGGCGCGCGCCCTGTGTGAGCGGTCTTGAGTCGGCCCATGAGTGGATCCTGGTATTTTGGGGTATTTTGGGGTTAGGCCCCACCAATCACTGAATCACTATGTTCTACCAAGTCTGCTGGAGCTTTTTGTTGTTTCTGCCTCATAGCGCAGCATATCTCGGTTGTGATGCTGCACTGCCATACTGGCAGCATCATGTAGGCCCGGTAGGCGGGGCTTGTTGGAAGGAGAGACCTTGTGGCAAGCTCAGAGCTGGCCAGGTCCAATGAAACTGGACAAGGAATGGCTTGTGTTTGGGGTAGCCAAGCACAGAACCAGCTGAAGTCCCAAGATGTTTGAAGCCCTAATGGCTTGCTGCTCCATACCACCTCAAGTCTATCTCAACTCTACGTTCGCAGAGAGCACCGAGAGTTAGAATTGCAGGCCGACGGGCTCTTCACTGGCTGCGACAAGATGCAACCTGATCACACGGAGGGAATGTTGATTGGGCATACTAACTGAATCCACCAGCTCTGAGCAGAATTGGTCCCAGGTGGAGCGGTAGGAGGTGGACTGCCAGAGAACTTCTCAGGATCAGAGCAAAAGCACGTGCTTCTTTAAAAGTTGCAAAACATGACTCAACATGGGGGATCGAGCTGCGTGGCTTCATGGAGCATCGTCTTCCTAGCACGTTTCAAGCGCTACAGTTTATATATATATATATATTATGTGTGTATAGACCCCCAAATAGATAGAAAAAGTAAATCACCATTAAAATGAAATGGACACTTTATTATTATATATATATAGTGCAGTGCCCTATTATAGAAGAAATCGAATATTTTTTCAGATAGAAGATCATTTAAAAATCATAGAAACGCGCAAGGAATCAGATAGAAGAAACCCTTGACATATCATACCATGTCAGGGCCAAAAACAAGCACAACAGATAGAAGAAACCGTCATCAACAACATGAGGAAGAAAACAGGAGGGAGGAGGGAGGAGGGAGGAGGGAGGAGGGAAAGGGAAAGGGAAAGGGAAAGGGAAAGGGAGGGACAGGGAGGGAGAGGGAGGGAGAGAGGGAAGGAGAGGCAGACAGACAGACAGAAAGGTAGACAGGTAGAAACAAATAGCACGGTAGTTGCGTTAAAGTGCAAATGGAAGATAAGAAGGTAGGTCTTATGTAAGCCTGTCTTTTGTAAGAAAATTGCCCGAACAGATAGAAGATACACCATGTTTTAAGCGTTCCAATCAAATAGAAGAAACCCATGAGCAGTATCTTCTAAAATAGGGCAACGCATTATATCATTGTCTATCGATTTGGGGATCACTATATTTGATGATGTTTTTCGTGGCCAGATTCAAGACATCGACCGAGGACGTGCCGCTGTGGCTGTATGTTTTGCTTCCGCTGCGGCTCAGAGGCTGGGGCACTGGACGTCATGGTGGACAGATGATGGTCTTTACTTGAGGGTCTTGGGTTCCAACTTCAGGAGTGGAAGGGATTCAAGAAGCATACCCGAAAGATATTCGGCCTTTACTGAGGTTGGGCCTTAAACATCTTAAACGTGGCAAACGTGGCCAGCTTGCTTTGTGCACTGGCTGGTGTTCGTTCATTTGTTTTGCCACGGGTCACCTGAGGAAATAGAAACGTGCGCACAGGAGAGTACAGCGCCTAGCTGTATCGAGGTAAAATGGGGCCACGGGCCACATGTGCTTTCCGGATTAGCGCTCTGGTCGATTTAATCCAAGGAATGTGGTTCCATTTAAAGAGCGCAACGACTTGGAACCTCATACGGTCTTACCATGACAACCCACGATCGTCCTCGTAGCGACCAGTGGTCGCAGGTGTGAAAAATCATGCATCCAAGCCAAAAGGAGCTTTGAATTGGGGTTTCGGTGTTGTTTTTTATACCCTCCCTGGACGTGGACAATGGTCCCTGGAAAAATGTGGAAAATGGATGAAAATGGTTTGGGTTAGTTCTTGCTTCTTTCATTGTTCTTTCCTTTTGAACTCGTTTCACGAGGCGCGCGCTGGCGGTGTAGCTCGATGCCGCTGCGTGGGGCCGCAGCATTCCTACATCCCCAGAAGCGCCGTGCCTTGGATGGTGAAGATTGCTCATTCTTGGTATCTCCCTGGCAGCAGATGTCCCAATTTTTTTTCTCCTCAATGCATCATTGAATTCGATTCTACAGTGAAAACAAATTGGAAAAAGTGCAATGTAACTGTTGTTTATTTTTTTTTGTCCACATGGTGGTAAGTGCTTGTGTGTTCCCAAATTGTTTGTTCCCGGGCCTATACTAGGACCCCCCGTTTGGGCTGTCTACTAATCCCGTCCACCTATTAATAAACACGGCCCCCCCCCCAAATTAAAAGAAAACTCGGTCGCATTTTTTCTTAATAGGGGGTCCCTGAAATCGGGGGGTCCAAAATAGGGTCACCTGGGAAGAGCTTCAAAACCAAAAAGTCATCCAGAAAAGTTTTATAAAAAATCCTTTATTCAACTCGTATCAAAAACTTAAAAAAAAAAAAAAAAACTTCCAGATCGAAGGGTCTTCCTTTTCCCCTACAAAAACCTTTATTAGAATACCAATTCTTCATTAGACTAACAACCAAAGCTTTCGAAAGGTGAGGTCGCTGTGCCATGCGGTTTTGCACGACCTCGGAGGCAAGTGCGTTTGCGTGAGTCCGTGCCATTGGAGGAAGGAAAGCCGGCTGGTGTAAACGCGGCGTGTCACGAGGGAGTTTTGGGGGAACCTAATTTTAAAAAACTACACCCAAAATCGACCATGTTGGTAGTTTAGTAGCGGCTTGAAAGGGCAATTTAAAAACTAATATAAGCCGAATTTAGGGCTTCGGACGTTGTGTTTTTTATTCGGGAGTGTTTATTAATAGGTACTCGGGATTATAGACCCGTCTTTGATTTAGGCTCCGTGTTCCTGCCTCACAGATGATATCTAGAAAAGGTGTGGGCAGAATGGATCGAGGTGGGAGCAAACACGCTCAGAGGAGAGCAGTCAGTCCTAACCTTGCCCTTCGCGTTCTGATGAGTCATATAGAGTCGAGTCGAGTTAAGGACAGTTGCGGGACATTTAGGGCATTAAGACGTGTGTATGTGTTGTGCGCTTTCTATAGCAAATGCACTAACCTTGGCATCTCCAATTCGGGCCAATCTTGACCACGAACCAAATCGCCCCGTCCTTGTGGTTACACTGAGTGGTTCCCCACCTAAAAATCCGCGAGCAAGGATGATGGTTTCATATGATACATATGGGTTTTCTTTCTTTAGGGTGGTGGGGGCCACCACATCTTGTAGTTGCTGTCATCATGACCACAGGATGTGGTGCGGTTGGATGTCAAAGCGGGGCACAGGGTACCCACCAGTCACCCTGACCCTTCATCCATACTTTTGTTGCTTCCTCATTTGTTGCATCTTAACATGTTTGTGGGGTAGCATTCCACGTTATAGTCTTCATATTGTTTTTTTGGACCTGTTCATGGGCTATTTATGTTTCTTTCGCTTGGCCATGTGGCGGGGTGGACTGACTCTACATGATTTGGAAACCAGGGCTGCGAATTTCCAGGGCAGCTAAGCTCAAAGCATCGAGGACGGGTTAGGATTGAGCTTTTCAACCTCAACCCTGAAATTAGTAGGTGGTTGGCCCCTTTAATCACCCTGAAATCCAAAGACCAAACAGGTGGTGTCATCCACCTCCATGTTTTTCCCCACCTGTCGGGTGAGGGTTGTTTGTTAGATGTTAGAAGAGGAGCCCGCAACTCCTCCTCCGCCTTCCGCCCTGGATTCGCTGCACCTTGGTTCCCTGGGTTCTACCCAGGTCTTGAGCAACTACGAGGGAGCCTGGGTCTTCCCTTCCGCCCTGGATGTGGATTTGACCAAGAGGCTCTTGCGGGAGAGAGAGAGAGAAGGGGAGAGAGAGAGAGAGATGTACGTGTGTGTGTGTCCACCTCTGCAACTAAGAGTTTCTGTTTTTCTCAACTTTTAAGTCGCAGGGGGCGTGACGGTCGATTTCCTAGTCACGCCAACGAAGCTAGGGAAATCGACTGGATGGAAGTTTGGACGCAAACTTCTGTACCTGCGCGGATGAAAACTTTTGCACACGCTGTGACTCCACTTTTCCTTTTGTTGTTTCCATGGTGGTTGTTCGCATGATAACCCCCAAAACAGGTTTCCTTAGCTTTGGTAAAGTGCTTGCGCGTTTGTTAAACAGTTCTGTTCTTCGGACCCTTGCACCTTACCGTTCTTGCAGTCAAGGGCTAATGCAGTCACTAGATTCCGCAGTCAAGTGAACAACTCCTTTTTTAAAACACATTCAAGTGCTCCGACTCTTTCACCTTTCGGTTCCATCGCCATTTTTCCTGGGAATTGAGTTAACTGCAAACCAATGTCAGAGTGTGTGGGTGTCGCTCAAAAAGAGCAAACTAGACTACCCCGAGGTGAACCTGCATAGTGAATAGTGTTGGGGCTCCAGGTTTTGACTCATCCTCATGGCTACCAGGACACACGCAGGGCCCCTTCATTGTAGTCAGGTCATTCACGAAAACTTGCTTGGAGGGCTCTGGTATAGTAGGTCGGTCTTGGAGATTTCATGCCTGATTATTTCAGGACCTACATCCCCTTTATTCTTATTTCATCCCTGAAGATCTACTCTGGTATATTCCCGGCCCAGCCGAACTGACCAGCCCCAGGCTGGAAAGAACAACTGGACCCAGGAGAAGAACCTTTTGGATTTCGACGATACGACCTCCTTCGAATTTGTAGGGCTCCGGTCGTACCTCAGAAGGTACTTGGACCCTCCTGGCACCCACCCACCCCAGTCCCACCTTTGAAACGAAGGTACTGGGAGCCCGGCAGGGGATATGTTTGCACCTACTTTTAAGGCAGAGGGGCATTCCCGCCATCGATCGCACCACAGGCCAAAAGGCCGATCGAAGACCACCAGCGCTCGGCTACAGAGGGAGTCCAAGGCCTTAGCCAAGGACAGACATGTCGTGCATGGTGGTTGGCTGTGTTGGACAAGTCAACACGATCGACAAGGCGGCCGACTTCGTATGGATTTTGATGAACTGATGATCTTAACCTTTATTAGGATTTATGGATGATTGAAACTTGGCGACTTTCAGACGGCAAAAAGTATAATACCTGGATCCTCCTTTGGGCGGAAAAAAGTGCCGGACCTCAATCCGGACTGAAGATCTACGTATATATATATATATATACACCGTACACCAGTGTCAGGAGGTGAATGGTATGATATGGATGTTCCACGACTTGATCTACTTGGTGTTCAGACATGTTCGACTTGATGCCATTGATGTGATTGCAGGGAAGGCTTAGTCTCCAAGAAGTTTTTAATTCTGAGATGGGACAGATCGCGAACAGGTGATCCTGAGGATGAGACTCAGATGTTCGCTTTGGGAGTGGTTTCTAGCTAGGATCGCTTAGGATCGCTTCCTCGGCAGTTGGGCTGCCCAAGAAGAGACTCAGAGATTCAGGCCAAAAAGCAAGAGCAGAGTGAACAAAAATCACCTGACAAGAGAACACCTGGTGCTTTCTTCACATCATGGGGTCAATTCTGGTCCGGGGCGCCGTTGATCTCAACGCCACGGACCTCTGAACGCCTCGGCCTTTGACCAGGACCCACCACCTCTGATCCGCATTGCACGTGTGGAGCTCAGCCAGCACTTGTGACTTGAGACGATCGGACGAACTCATCCACACGGAAGTGAAGAGGAACATGTCCTTTTCTGAAAGGAGGACGATGTTCCTCTACAAACAGGGTGGGGTTTGTCACCTATCTTTCTGTTTCATGTCATTTTACTTCAACAAAATCAATGGAACATCAGTCAGAGAGTGGCTTTCAGCGGGAGAAAAAAACATTCAATTCTCGCCGAACGTGGATTCTCAGCGGGGTTTGGTTCGATTCCGAATTGGATCCCGATCGACCGTTGCGCAAGTCATCCCCGGATTTTGGTGGTGAAAAAGTGAAAAGACGCTCCAAATGTATCGGTTTTGGGCATCAAAAAGGGTTCAAAAACTTAAAACAAATTGGAGTGATTGGTTAAATGCCATTGCTTAAACGATCTTTTCCGTATCCTTTAAGAGGTGTCCTTTAAACGTGTACATAGTTTTGTGCGCTGCTTTCTGCGCCACTTGGCGAGAGATGATGTGCCGCTTAATTGTTTGTGTCCTGCTCACTCTTGTGGAGAAAAACACCAAGCAGCCACGAACCAAAGAAGGGCCGCTGTCCAAAAAACTATCTTTTGGAAGCATCAATAATTTGGCATACTTTTGAGGACGCAGGTATTCCTGATGTGTTTCAGATGGCCACTTGCTTGGCCATCGTGCAGAGTGTGACCATTGCTTTGCTCAATCCCGGTTGGAGCCTGTGCAAATTTACACTTGTACAGATAGATAGATATACCTAGATCTTCAGTCCGGCACTTTTACAGGGTCCGGCGATGGACTTCCAACTCTAGCGTTTTTCTGGATTTGGTCCGGCAGTTTTTCCAAGTCACTTTATGTGGATTCCGGCTTTGCGTTCTTTGTGGTCCGCATTTCTTTGAAAGTAAATCCACTATTGACCAATAATTTTGCTTGAAAGTGTGCTCGTTTGCCTGTTCAGCTGTCTCATTCCACCGGTTTCAGCAGTGGTTCGCACTGGCTCAATCAAATCCGTTTATAAGTGATCATCTAAATGAACTCGATACAGTGCGATGCACGTGTTGAAAGACGCAAGTGGGTGTACCCAAGCTGAAGAAACATAGGCGGTAATGTATTCTGTTTCAGGATGTCGGGGCGCTGGGAAATAGTTTTTGCAGAGCCTGCCGGACAAGTTTTGGTTTGTGGAACGTGTGTTGTTCAGAATCTCAATGTTTTGCAGAGAGTTGCCAAAAAAGGGCGCGTCGTAACTCCGGCGTAATTTCCCGTAAATCCGGCGTAATTTCCCGTACTCCGGCGTATTTTTCCGGGCTCACTGTTTTGAAGGTTTTATCTCTTAAAAGGTTTTGACTGGAACCACGAGTTCTGATACGTATATTAGGGGGTCGGGGTCCTGAGGCAAACCAAAAAATCCTGGAGAGCAACCCACTTTGTAAAAGAGCTTCAGAGACACGGTTGCAAAGAAAGAGGGGTTCCTTGTCACATACTCCTTGGTTTGTTCTTGGAAGTCTTTGCTTGGGCACAAGTTTACTTATTATATGTTGTGAAGGTTCTGCTCTTAGGCATTTCAGAAGATGGGCGAGGGCAATGGGAACGGGAAGGCTCCAGTGATTGGGTTGTGGAATGACTGTGTTCCAGAAAAACGACTCGTGGCGCAAAGGCAGTTTGCTTGTGTATGATCCATCTGGGTTTTTCACCATCTTGGATCCGGATGTTTTTTCAGGTCGTCGGCGACGTCGGCATTTTTTTCGGAGTCCGGCCCAAAATTTTGCCGGATTGAGGTCCGGCACTTTTTTTAGCCTAAAGGAGGATCCAGGTATACTGTATATATATATATAAATAGCTAGATGGATAGACAAATAGAGTGATAGCTACATTATAGATAATAGATAAGATAGATAAATACTGTAGATGGACTGCCTCATGTTCAGTGAAAAGTTTCCGTCCAGATGTTGCCATCTCAATGCAAACGAGACATGAGCCTCTAAGATAACCTCACCCGGCTGCTTGAAGACTGTACCACCGTTTTTCGACCAGCCCAGTGTAGTCGTAGCTCCTTCTTCAAACCAGGCCGGTAGAAGAGAATGGCCAAAGAAGGATACAATACCCATTGACTTGTCAATGAGACACCTGATGACACTGCTTCTGATTCTATACCCTCTCGATGGCACCGTCGGTGACGTGGCCCGGTCCTCCCGGTCCTGGATGGCTAGCCATCGGGCACCGACCGTGGAAGTGGATAGAACTCATCGGACTCGTTGGGCAATTGTCGCTGGCAGAACAAGCCGCCCGAAGAGAAGGGTTAGCAGTGTGGGGTTGGCAGACCGATATTGACCGTCGGTCCGAAGAATACGAACCCCACCTCACCAAAGGGATTCGAACGTTGGTGAGCATTGTTCAGCAAGTTTGTTGCTTCTCTTAGGGCATTTCTGGGGTCCTTTTGTTATGCTCGCCCACCCGCTTCACCATTTTTGACGTCAGATGAAGCGGGGCAGCTGCGCTGGCATTTCATCATGGAAGGCGACTGCTCACAGCTGGAAGGATCTGGAACGGCCATTTTTCCCTCAACTGATTGTTGACTCATGAACTTACCCATTGGTTAAGGACCTCCCTATTGAAGTGCACCCTGTGATCATGTGTGATCCCTCACGCTGTAAGCAATGCATGTCTTTGAGCTGCCGGCCTTTGCGGCCCTGGCAACCAGCGGAGGCCCTTTGGAGTCCGCCTTTGAGGGTGGCCGCTACTGGGGAAACCTGGATATGCCACAGGAGCCGTGTAGAAGTGTAGTGTGCGGCGGTTGAGCTGGAGCAAGGCGATGGAATTGGAGAAGCAAGACGTGGAAACTGTTTGGACTTGTGACTTCAGTGGCGATGGATAGACGTCCGAAATCGGGAGCGCAGTGGAATCCAACTAATTAGGTTCCAGCCTGTGATTCCAAGAGCCACTGTTTCAAGGGCCTTTTACCAAAGAAACATTTGCCTTATATACACATCGCTTTTAGACTACAAGACCAGGTCGACAGTTCTTTCAATGATCGAACTGAAGGCAAGGGCTTATACTGTAATATATAACTTACATAACAATATATCACATGATAAGATATGATCAGCTATATGACAATAATTAATCATATATGTTTAATTGTGTATAAATATGTATATAATGTGTTTGTTTTTTTTGGGGGCATTGGATCCATTCCATCAGATTCTTTTTTGCTGATCAGGGAGAACGACGGATTTTTGGGGCCGCCAGGGACTCATCCTGGGAGGTCCAGGAACAGTCAGGATGATCAAGATGAGTTATTGAATGGACACCCAAAATAGATAGAAAAGTAGATCCCCACTAAGAATGTATTGGACACCTGCTACTATCTATTTGGGCACCACTATAAAGCAATCCTGGGAAGCTGTACAGACGGAAGACATTGATTTGATCAAAGGATGTGAGCTGTTCGGCATTGAGAGGCTCATCCCTGATGCGAAGTGTCAACCAACCGAACAGTGCGGGGGAACCAACCGAACACCGGTCCCAAAGCCGCCAGGACTATCCCTTCCAGCCTCCCTTGGTCCGCTTCCGCACACCAACTGGCCGCTTCAAGGCTGGCCTGTTTGGGAGGTTCCGCGTTCGCTCAGCCATTCGGAAGACAATTCGATGACACACCCGCTGGGGACGTGGATGGACATGGGACCTCATTGAGCACCCGACCTTTGGACCAAGGACGGGGTCCCCGAGGTCCCCGAGGTCGGGGCTTCCGTGACCCGTGGGGCCTTTGGAAGATATTGGAAGCGGAGGAGGGCCAGCCGTCCAAGGGTAGAGGTGATGGTCGCAGGGCTTTCGCCTTCTCGGGGCCTGGAGTTGCGGGATTGGAGATCTAGGAGAATCGATGTATGGGGTGTTGCCAGACATAACTTTTATTGACTTTACATGGAATTAAGAGTCCTTAGATTTTGCGCCAGATGCTGTGCCAGGTTGCAGGATGTTGTGGGTTCGGCGGGGCGACGGTCATGGGGTCGCAGGTTCCATGCGTGGAGCCACACGCGCGCGGAGCGAGCCACCAGGTCGACACCTGGCTTTGCCGCACTCAGCTGGACTATCATCCAGAGGCTGAGGGAGCTTGCCTTTTTTTGGTTTTCCGTGCTTTTTTTTGGACTTCGATCCCCTTCATGCCAATTCCTTTCCTTCGAAGCCCATGGCTTGAATTGGTCCACGAGAGAAAAGACATGAATCGGTTCAACATCCTTCGGACACAGCTCCATGCACGGAGCGGCGCTTTTCAAACCTTGGCCTATAGCTTCCAATGTTTCGGCATTCCGAAGAACTGGGTGTTTCATGAAGGTGACGAGGGTATGTGTCTTCTTATTTCATCTTAGACCCAGTGAGGCACTGATGTGCAGAATATCCTGTGTGCAGGCACTGATCGAAAGTGAGAATATGCACATAATTACAAACACGTACTGTTTTTTTCTGTTAAAGATGCTGCATTCAGTGTTCCAACAGTTCCAACCATTTGGGGACTGTCAAGTACGATTATTGTGTTTTTTTTTTAGTAGCGGGAATCCTATGTTTGAAGTGGAATCTCTATATCTCTAAGTACAGATTTCGTTAGACCCAGACTCAGGAGAAGCTAAACGTTCTGTAATAAATTAATAACTTCTTGGTATGTCTTCTTTTTTAATTGGAGTTGCAGCCTGGATCATATCCTTCATGGACTCCAGATTTCCCTGACACAGGGCTCACCATCAGCCAACCAAGGAAAGTCGCTGTGCATGACCCAGAGTCATGACCCAGCTACCAAACATGCGTGTGCTTAACCGCCGTTGCGCGCCGGTGGATCCGCCCCGTACGTGCCGGTATCGGACGGGGTTCGGCACCTTGGTCGAAAGTACTTCACAGCCGAAACTTTGGGGTTTCAGGTCGCATTCCGAGCATTTCAAGCTGTTAAATGTATTGCCGGTCACGAGAGAGAAGCACTCCGCGACTCCGCTCACGCTCGCTCCGGTCCGCGCCCGGGGGTGTCGGACGGGTGAGTCTCCATCGGGCGAAGCGCCACCGGACTCGAGGGATGGCAACCTTCATGGACCTTAAGCGGTTTCTTGCTCGCCTTGCTGGCCTTGCTGTGTGGCCTGGACGATGGCGTTATTGATGCGCTTGGCGGCCGGAGTCATAGGGCTTATACCTGGATTTTACATATGCAACATGCTTGCTGGTTTTAGAGATGAAACGTGGAAAGCATGATGAAAAGGCAGACATGTTGTATAGTTGGATGGTCTTTTGTATGCCCCAGGCGTTACAATAGACCCCCAGGACTGGTTGACGCATCATAAACGACCAATGACGGGGGGACGGACGTGGGTCCTCTCATTAACTGCGGAAGCGCTTTTGGGTGAACACCGTTGGGGTCGGACGTTTGAGCGACCTCTCATGACGCCCGCAGAGGGACTGCTTGTCAGATGCCAACAAAGCAATGATGTAACTGTATTGATATACAACAAAGACCCATGCAGAGATGTTCATCATGTTTTCCTCGTGCAAAAGACTATATCACCGTCAGTATGTAAGTAAACTATATACCCTGAGGCTCCAACCTCTATAAAAACAATGCCGGTTCCTTGAACCTCTATATTACCGACCCTATCCGAAGACCCTCCCAATCACGCTCATTCACGCTTCATTTTAACATCAAGTCGTTCAAGGGTTGAGCATCACCGGATCGCACGTTCGGACAGCCTTGGTTTGCTCAGAACTGGTTTTGGCACATTCGTTCACGATATCCATAGTAAGATTATGTTGCATTCTAGAAGCTTCGTCATTTTTCGCTTCATCGCAACCATCCTGATCATGAATTCACCATGAACAGATCATCAGGGTGCAAGCTATCGATCAAGCCTTAAACGTTGTGCTCGAACTAGCCAAATCATGCGTTTCTTCGCGTGGGCATATTTTGCTGCTCCTGCAGCAACCACTTGAAAGAACACAAGTTTCCATAATTACAATTATGTGTTAAAGTTAGGCTGCAATCCTTTGCTCCATCGCATCATGTCTTCATCTATGAAGCAGTGCCAAAAACGGCAATTCTTTCCTTTGTTGCAAAGATCGGCCGAAACATAACGTGCAATGTTGTTGACCTGCTCAAATTTTGCAGGACCTATACCTCAAAACTGTGTGCAACAGTGAAGCCTTATTTAATGCTTCAAACATGCCTGGCTGCAAACCGCTAATCCATTTCAGGCTCTATACCTGCGCATATTCAGCAGTAAATGCATCATCACCTGAAGTGTGAATACCACCCACAACGTCGATGTTATAGCAGTTGGTTTAACTCAGAGCTCAAAGATGCAGCTTAGTTACATGGTACTTGGGTTTCATTAGCCACTGCGGTCGCTGCTGACGAATCGAGATCAAGCATAGGGTTTTGTATGACTTCAGGAACGTGATTCCTCGAAAATCTGCTCAGCCACATCCCTGCTCCTTGTCATGTTGGAGATGACTCCGCCAAGGATCCCATACCCCCCCTACATTCCATGCGAGAAGTCATGAACCCAGCTGTTGAACACAATAATACAGTGGAGCATCGAAGTTCATACGCGCTATGCATATGCCATTTTTTTTTATAATTTACATGCTATGCATATGCAATAGAATAACACGATTGTTAACATGCAGATTCAGTTCTCGCGGGTTGCTTTCCAGCCATTTTTTAAGCGTGCCATGGAGGTCCGGAGCTGCTTTGGGCACAGGGTTGAACAGGTACCGGATTTAACTTGTTGGGCAGTGAATCACACAAATTCAAAATTTGTTGGATTGGCTGGCCAGGATCATGGCAACACATGAGATTGCAAGACGCCCGTCATCAAATTCAGGGCCATATCGGGGAGTGACCTCACGCAGCGTGCTGGCCAACCATTCCATAATGATACGGGCATTCCAAGCTTTGGTGATAAAATTGACTTCTCCAGTGCGCTGCACGACCTGTGAGGGGTCAAGGTCAAACAAAACCTGGGAAAACAGCCGTTCCACCAATTAGCAAATAAAACAAAACAACATAATAACATAATAATTGGACATGTTTTTTTCAAGTCAGGGGTCGTACTTCGCTTGGAATCCTGGCTGAGAATGCTCTAGGCGCCGCGACTTGCAGAAGGCCTGGAATTGCCCGTAGGCAACATCCATTTTATCTTGAAAGCTGCCATCTCCAAATTGTCCAACGAGCTCTGCCAGAGTCCACCTACTGCATGAATTTTGGGTGCCCCTCAAATCAAACCCTCATGAAGCCTAGAATTCCACTATCACGTGCAATGTGTTAACAACTAGCCCCTTAAGATGGATCCAAGCTAATGATCAAATTTGCTTGTAAATTAGTCTATGTTAACTGGTTAGCCCTCAAGCGAAGCTTCAACCCGTGGCAGGATCCAACATTGGCTGACGACAGCATTTGCGATTCGAGATTGATTGCACCGCACGGGGCCACAGAAAACACCGAGACGCATGCAGGCTCCATTTGCAGTAAAGAGCAGGCCCAAGTGAATGGTGTGCATTGCACACCATTTAATGCAAGAGACATGGAATCCTTTGACATTCACCAAAGGGCCTTAGATAACAGGCTTCGTTGAGTCGGATGGGTGCCCCAAGAACGACCTTCACTAGAATAGGTGAAAACATAGAAAGTGACTATATAAAACCATGGTGCAAATGTTGCGGGACCTGGCAACATCTTGGCAACAAACTCTTCATGGGTGAACTCTTCCTGGATCCATCTACCCTCATGGTTGTGGTAAAGGAGATCAGTCGAAATCCGACAGATACTGCACTGCATTTGAAGCATGTGGAGCGTCCATTCCAGCTTGCATTGGTCCGCCAGATTCGGCAATGGAACTCCCAGTCCCCCCTGACTTCTATCAATTGAAATTGACGTCCATCAGAGACTATAGGTGTTCCCGCACGCTTGAGCTCCTGGCTAGTTAACGGAACGCCCCCTGGTCCAGATGTCGGGTTCATGCCCACATACAAGCAGTTGAGGGACCAGGCCACTATTCGTAGTATCCGGTTGATGGTTCTGCCCTCACTGAGTAGTAGCGAGCAATCGCAGCTCCAAATCAGGAAACGGCTGTACCGCACAGGCTTCGGTCGCCATATTGGGAAATTGAGGAATAGGCAGATTTGCTTTTCCTAAGAAGAAAGCAAGCTGAGATATATACAAAGCGAAACATTATTGATATAAAACATATATCATGGAGGGGTGTGAATAAGCAGGGGTGCAACTCGACTCAGCCTAGTTTCTTTTCTATATCTCGTTACCAGCTGTGCAGCATCGCCATATAAGGAGGGCATATTTTCGTGGGATATATCTTTTTTTTTTGGTGGGATACTTTTTTTTTTTAGGGCTCTGGAAGGAAGGAAGGAAGGAAGGAAGGACGGAAGGAGGGAAGGAGGGAGGGAAGGAGGGAGGGAAGGAGGGAAGGAGGGAAGGAGGGAAGGAGGGAGGCAAGAAAGACAAAATAACAAAGAAAGGACAAAAAGGAAGATAAGCAATAGAGCTAAGCAGAAAAGAGAAAGAACTTAGTGGGCTGGTTAACTTGTCAATCATAATACATACCTGGAAGCATTAGCTGTGTGTGCTCATGGGGGGGAGGCGCTGCTCCCTCCCCCCCAACCCCCCTCCCGCTTATTTTTTAAAATTTAGGCTGTTGCTACAGCATGCCAAAGACAAACCAAGAAAACAACCAAGCATTAGCAACCAAAGCATTTGTCCCTCCAACCCGTAGCAGAAGTTAATGGAAGATCACCATGGAAAACAAAATGTCACCAGGGAAGGGAAAGGTAAAAGGAAATGGAAAGGAAAATGTAAAGGAAAGGGAAGGGGAAAGGGAAAGGGAAAAGGGAAAGGAAAGGGAAAAGGGAATGGACAAGGAAAGGGAAAGGGAAAGGGAATGGAAAAGGAATCAGAAGACGCAAAAAAAAAGTCCCATTAAAAAACAAAAAAATATCCCGCTAAAAACCTGCAGCCGCCATATAAGCCAAGCGGAACTTTGTCACGGCATTCAGCAGTTGCAAAAGGTTCACCAACACGTAGTGCATTATCCCAGAATCGATGCACCTAGAAAACACATGCATAGGCTACTAGTATTTCACTTCTAATAAACTAATATTATGTGGGATCAAGGTACTGCTTCTTCACCTTGGCAATGTCACCACAAAAACACGATCAAAGCAACGTGTTTTAAATACACAAGTTGTTTTGGTTGCAAACATGTGCAGGCCTAAAATCCTCTATTCGAGAAAAGTCACTGATTTGCATCTTTGCATGGTTGAACAGATAATGAACGACTCGATGCGGATACAGAATCGGTTGCTTCTCATGCCGGAAGCCGTGAGGACTTTTGGCATCCAAAACTGGAACTGACACATACGCAATCTCCTGCAGAGATTCACCAGGCACAGTGTTGCAAGCTAGCTAGCACATATTATATAATATTGTGAATTGAGAGTTGCAAGCTAGCTACCACATCCATATCATGGAATCGCCAAAAATCTCGTGCATCATTGTGCCCGGATTTCTTTGCTAGACGAACAGCGCCATCATGAGCAGCCCCCTTGCTCTCCTGGAAGCAGGATTAATCATGGTTGATCAACAATTCCAACACTGGTTGCAAGGATTCCAAAGTATATTGTACCGAGTCAAAAAATTCAATTTCACATGCATCCAGGAAGATCGCCATACAATTACCTAGCTTTGTCAGGTACAAAGCAACAAGACACTGACTTTTGTTCCGGTCCCTCAGTGCATATAACCACGCCCGAGGCTCCTGAACATGAGCCCTGATGCGTTTCATCGCTGCATGGATGGACGTCGCCTCAGGGGAAGGTGTTGAAGGTGGGATCGATACAAATGCTATATTATATATTGTTCGATTCTGTTATGTTCTAGGACTACGCCAAGTCGCCCCTCCACTGACATCTTCCATAGCATTTTGAAGCATTGGTTCGTCTTGGGTACTTCCTGCGAGGGGCCAAATATCAATCAACTTAAGTGGGCAAATGCAAGTGCACATGCATGAACAAATATAACGTACTAGATGAGTACTCGACTGCCTGAAAGCCTCCAAATTCTTTTTGAGCAGCTACCACAATCGCAGTGTTCTCACTACGCAGCAGGCGATGTATCACATAGTCCCCTTCATCCACACAAGGGCCGGTGCACTTCAGCGCATCACGAAAACAGGTTCATTCGACACGATCGAAGAGGAATGTTGTGGGTGCGGTTTTGTGATGTTTTGCACATGCATGATTGATAATTGATCCATCTAGATCTAGATATCTCAAACGACTCTCGCTGAAGTCGCCCCTGATGGAATTTAAACCCCATGATTCTTGATAAATCAGTTTCCCAGGTCAACTAAGACGCAAGTCATTGCAGCATTTGTTTCACATGACTGCATCACATGGCTAGGAAAAACCACTGGCGTTGCTCACTCGATTCAATTCACTTCAGGTTCATTTTGTTCAAAAAGGTCTTGAGCTCTATGCAATGCTTCTCCACAGCGATCACCATGTCATCCAACACGGAACTCTTGGCAACGTTGGAAGCCTGTATTCACGTGAAAGTGAAATGAATTAACACCCCCTGAAAAAGCAAAGACCACGCGCGATCTCGAATTCGAACGATGTGCAATCGTAAAGCCTGGACCCGACTGATCTCCATCAACAACTTGTCTCGACACGATGTCAAGGACTTCTTGATCGGCTTCAGCTCTGCCATCACCGCAGCAGACATGTCTGCAGACCTGAGAGTCCGGCATGCCCAGCTGTGTTTAAAGAAATACTGCACAGGACACCATGGATGTATTTCAAATAGAGTTGATGTCCCAGATGATTTGTGGCATGCCGCAACCATCAGTCAATGCATGGGTAGCGTTCACAGTCTTTGATTGAGGTCTCAACATGTTCGATGCTTTCACCTCCACTGCAGAGGCCTTTGCGATGCTGCCGTTGATCTGCGAAAGGGCCTGACATTTTTTGCAAACGTTTATGATAAACAAAACGTATATATCATCAGCAGATTTTGTTTGATCATGTTCATTATACAAGTATATAGTTTGTTTGATCATGTTCATTATAAAAGTAATATGATCTAGTGCCACGAAAAATTATAGTCTAATATATTACCTGCCTTGTTCCCGCTTGAAACCAATTTCCGCGTAGCTTCCTTAGCAGCCTTCTCCTTTGCTTGCTTTTCTTCTTTCTCCCTTTTCTCTTTGTTTTTCTTTTCTTCTTTGTCTTTCGCTTCCTGTTCCTTCTTCTCACGAGCTTCCTTCTGCTTAGCTGTCTCAGCCTTCTCAACCTTATCCTTGTTACCCTTGGTCTTCTTTTTTGTCTTTTTCTTTGCAGCCTATCGACTCACGACATGATGTACTGTCACAATCTTGGAAATTTAAGATGATGAATTTAGTCGTACGTGGATGTGACATATTTAGATTTATGCAAAATAATAATTGATACATCGTTTGATGAAGGAGACATATACATATAGCCTTGGACGATGAAGAAGACAAAACCACAGATGATGAAGAACTGGACTGAGATGATGTCGAAGTTGAGGAGGTTGAACGCTTACGCTTCTTGGAATGCTTCTTTGAGGTCTTCTTATCATGTTTTTTCTTCTTGTGTTTCTCGCTTTTCTTTGTCTCTTGTGCACATGACCTGTCAACGGCTTCAAACAACGATGTTGTGACCAAATCCTCTGTTGTCTCCTCTGCATCCACATCCCACACGAGGTATTGTCTCAGTTCCTGAGCTTGCAATATATTTATTTAGTAGTAGTATTGTCGGGGCAACACAAGCTGCTGGAACACCCGGTGCGTCCGGGTGGTCACGTATTTGAGACGCTGCAATATCTGGGTCCGCTTCCTTGCTCAGCTTGATTTTGTTTGCGATATCAGAACTTCCGTACCTGACACTTATCTCATGCAATGTCATCCATCTGCGGCTTCCGGTTTTGCGGAACCGCTTTTCCTGCAACAGCTTCATGTAGAAGTCGCTGGCCGACCATTGGCCGTTGCATCCTGTCCATTGTTCCAGCAAGATCTGCAGCTTCGGGCTGCCTTGGCGGGTAACGGATCGCACAGCCGCATAGCACCGGAAGACCGACGAAGAAGCTGTTGGAGGCTCTGGATAGGGTGGGTCATCATTGCAACATGAGCCGTGGAGGCCAAAAGCTGTCTCCGGATTTGCCTGAGACTCTGGAAGGCGTCAGGACACCGATTAGAATCGTTTGCTTACAGGACCCGCATTCTCACTTCAAAGAGATGAATATATGGTCCCATTGCGGAAGCTACAAAAGTCAGACCGTTGGATAACGTTATTGGATAACTCTTATATCCGCACTTCTTCGTGATTGGCTTGAGTTCCCAAATGCTCATTGATGGAGTATGCCAAGCTTGCTAGTTCCACCGTGTCCTCTTCCCTGACATGCATGCAAGGCACGAAAGCATTCAGAGCTTTGAGAAGAAAACACCTTGAGTTGCTGCTGTTTGGAGTTTGGGTGGTGAGGGTCAAGGCTTTTTCTTCTCATAGGATACTTGACTTGGGGCAATGGAATAATTGAACCCCGAGAGTACTTCTGGATAGCCGCAGTATTACTCACTTCCTCAGCTTCCTTCCCCTCGAATCCCTCCTCAAGGATCCTTCGTGCCTGTGGCTTCACACGCCCGCGGGAAAGGCTCAGGAGCTTTTCAGCGAGCTCGGTCCGTGCCCACTGAGAGCACAAGGCGTAGCTTTCTCCATGGCGACGAGCGATTCGGAGGAGAAACAGCTTCTGCAGTCCAGAGAGGCAAGAAAGACCTAGGGCACTGGGACGCTGGTGTAGATACGGAGAGCTTTTTTCAGGTCACTAGATGCTTCCCCAAAGGTTGATGCCTGGAAAGGTTTGTGGCTCATGGTGACTCATGGTGGCAAAATATGTTCAGATATGGAGAGGGCGATGGAGAGCGAGAGGGAGAGAGAGATAACATATATATATATATACACACTTTGCTTTACATATGATACATATTATTCATAGACTAGTTATATCTTCTTTTTTCAGCCTGGCACCCCGCAGGCGACAGTCTCAGCGGCCGAAGATTCATCATGCAATTGGGCAGTGATTCTGGGAACGCTTCTGGCAATAGGTGCGCTGGTGAGTTTGTTTGTGGTGATCTTCAGTGCATTTGTGACCCTTTGGTTGTGGCCAATCTTGGGGGTTCTTCTCCTCGTTGGTCATGGCCTACTTCTTTTTGCCGTTGCTGGCTCACAAACAACACTCGCAACGCCGGCAAAGCTCTCTGCCGCAGCGCTCTGCCTTGAAGTCTTGTGCTATGTCTTCTTGGTGCCGACCTACCTCTTTCGTTCCTTCATTGTACCCTGGTGGTGGTGGAATGCTTCAGTGATCCTGTTCGTACTGCCAGCATTGATCTTGCTATGGGTGACCATTCGCCAGTCCCTGTGTGGCACAACCGTGGAGAAGTGCTCGGCAGGGGGTCTCGTTGTGATCTCCCTGGTCATCCTTCTAGTTGGAGCGCTGCTTCTTGTTGCAGGGAACTTCTCTCCTACCCGGCTCTTGATGACACTGCCCTCATCGCGATTGGTGGAAGAGATCCAAACAATTCGTGATTATGTGCAAATGTCCAGTGCTAAATTGGATGCGACGGTGGGATATGAGATTTGTGACATGGCCACCTCCGAGTGTAGCATGAAGAAGTTCGTCGGTTGGACTGTGGAGCGCCGCGGGTTTGAGTAGTTTTCAAGCACACGAGTAGCGCTCTTTTTCTGGTCGGTGAAAGGCATCCCAAAAAAGAAACCAGACTGTCAGGTGGAGCTACTGCTTGCCTAGATGGAGACTTTGCATTCGTAGTCTATCCTGGTGATCCTGGCAGACTCCTTTTCCATTTGCATGGTGGAGGCGCTTGCTGGAACTGGATGACCTTCCTCCTGGGCAAGTGCACCAAGCAGGCCACCACGAGGCCGACGGGCATCTTGAACGTGACCAACCCAAATAACCCCTTCTACAACTGGACCTTGGTTGATGTGCCGTACTGTTCAGGGGACGTGTTTAGCGGTGCGACGGAGAACTTCTGGATCATGCCACAGCAAACGGCCAGTGCTTGGAAGTCTCAGGCAGGATACGCCAACGTGAACGCGATTCTGGACTGGGTCAAGGTCCAGTTTGCTGGAGCTGTGCCAGCCTTGAGGACAACTTGTAGCCGGAGTGGGGCGCAGTTTCATTCATAGTGTAGAACCTACCATGGTGCACAGGCCCTTTTTCATGTGCCACATTATGCGCACCACCGTAGAAGAACAGCTACGTGAGATAGCGCCTCGATGCCCCAGAAAAGCAGTAAGAACTCACGTGTCTTTGGACATACCACTGTCATACTTAATTGTATGTACAGTATATATATATATTTTGTGTTTGTTCCTACTGTAATACCTATTTGTTTGCCCCCTCAAATGCGCTCAATTTTTCCTAATGACTCTAATCGTTTGCAGACTTGGCCCTGGTATCTTTGCAAAATCTGTGTTCCTCAGATTGTTGGTCACTTAAACTTTGTTCCGCTGTTCTTCTGGGCACAGGTCGAGGCGAGAATTCATATCCTGCGCAGCATGTCTTTCCCATCGAGCCCACACTCCTGCAGGACTCTTTCCAAGTTCGTGGTGGCAGGTGAGTCCGCCGGCAGTTTGGGAGTTCAGCTTTGGGCCACTAACCTTCTACGTCGGCTGGAGAGCCACTATGAGCCTGAGAACACCATCCTGATTGGGGATTCTTTTGTGGGGACCACCCCAGGAGACATGGATCTATTTCAACGTCAGGTGATGGAGTTTTGGGGCGTTTGCCAGTCTGGTGTGGTTCCTGAGGAACTGGAGCCAAAGTGTACACCAGACCGCCTGGTCATGACAGACTTCCCAGAGACCACCATGCAGCTGTTCCCCTCAGTCCGCTACATGATGATCAGCAGCAAATTCGATCAGGTTCAAATGGCATTCGGCGATCTTGTGATTCATTATGACTACCTATGGACTGTGCTTTGGAAAGGCCGTGATAGCATACCGCATTTTACCACGAAAACTTTCTACGAGCAACTCAGTGGGTACTTACTGGTATACTCGGCCTACAAGCAGTTCTCCGCATACCTCGTGGGTGCCAAACAGCATACCTACACAATCTGGCCTCTCTTCTTCATTCGGAGCACTACTCCTGCTGGGCCATCTGATGATTGTAGCAGCCCAGATGTGGGGGAGCGTTTGCTCGATTGGCTCAGCCCGTATAGTGAGGAGAAGGCACCATACCAATGCTACAACACTGAAGAGGACGCCCCAAATTGGACTGCACATTACTGCGATTACCAGTTGCCATGGCAAGTTGGAAGATGCGAACCCAGCAACTAGTGAGCGCGGAGTGCAGGTGCTCATGAGCTGCAATTGCTCAAGTTCGAGCCAGCGCAGCCGCAGCCTGATGCAGCACGTTGGTACAGGAATGTTCCGGATCGAGGCCGGAGGAATTCGTGCAGCTAGCTAGACGGAAGCACTGCAAGATACACTGGGAGCAATTTATAGATTGCAGATAGGATCAGCAATCAATCGGGCCCAAAAAATCGTTGGTACCAGGGATTTGTGGAGCAGACTAGACTGAGTATTGTTGTTCGCCCCATGTGTTTTCGGTGATGGTGTTGTCTCAGCAGCTGCACTCTCCACTTTAGCTACGGCCATAGCCCGTGCCTCCTCAAGGGTGCCAGGCTCTGTTGAAGCAGAGCTGACTCCTGCCAACGAAACAAATATTAATATATCTTATTATAACATGTGCCACTCAACCACGGGCAATGTAAACAACACATGAAAGTGGCCTCGTTCAAGCTTGGCCCTTTGCAGTTCTTGTTTGAGTCTCTTTGAGCTCTTTGGATGGTTCTCCAGAAGCCTACCAGTCCAAGAAAGATCTAACTGGTTCACATCGATACATCATCACGCATGCATGGATCATTGATAATGAATTTAACACATATATAGCGTGGTGTGCCTTGACTTCTCCTTTGCTTTCTTTAAGGCTTGATCACGCTGCGAAAGTGCGGCATCATCCCCGTCATCCCCTTTCCTAGCATCCTCCTTTGCTGGCCTTGCTGCCCTATCAGCTGCCCGTTGAAGCGCACGGGCTGCAGCCTTTGTGTTTTTCCCATCGCACCTACACCTACGCCAGTTTGATCCACTTATACACACCCAGGTAGCCCGCATAATGACACGCCAGTGCAAGCCCAACAACCTGATATATGTGTGTTCTTTCCACAGGCGATGATTATTGAAAAACAACCAAAAAAAGAAAAAAATCAAAAAAACTGAAAATATAGTGATTTGTGGTGGTTTTTTGCTAATGTAGGTTCACGCTGAGAATCGTAGGTTCACGCTCATTCACGGTCTATTCACGGTCATTCACGGTCCATTCACGCTAGCCTTCCCGATGTTTTGCTCTTAATAGCTTCCAGCTGGAAATCCAGCGGTGGTGGTGTCCATTAATTTGAATTAATTGTTCGCACACGTGCTCGCGCAATTGCCAGTCTTCTTAATGACAAGCTCCGCACATGTGTACATAGTGCAAACTTCCAAAACCCATTCACACATCCAAGCCCTCTTCGAAGGCAGGTGTGAACCTTCCCTCCTGGCATTCATGCTCCAAGAAGGATTTCACATCCTTCATGGACGCATGCCTCCATTTATAGGGGGCCTGACCGGTTGCATTCCAACACAATACACACAGTAATTACACATCTACATGTGGAACCTTATTGAGACTGCTCGAGTTTCAGTTTTTGCGTGCAGGCCGACCGGGCATGCGGGTGCTGGCCTTCGCCACAACATCTCCAGGCTTGACCGTGTTGAACTTGGTGCGAATCGGATTGCTGGTCACGTTCTTTGCCTGGGCCACGGCTGAGCCATGATTGTGTATTTTTTGTTTGGTGGCCATGCATGGGATAGGAGGCAATGGTTTTTAGATAACCTGAGGTCAGTGCCAAGAAGGCTTTATGGAGTTTTGCAAAGCGTAGTCCATATGCTTTTGGGTAGATCTGGGACTGTTTCAATCCTTTCCCACCTCGCCTGAGCATGACTAGGAATTGAAAGTATCCAAGACCTGCCCCACCTGTGAGGTGCACTGCAAAACAATAGATCAAATATAGAAATTTTATAACTCTCTATCGATAATATATCTAGGTAGGCCCTGGACACAGATACTTTGCCAGAAGCCGATACCGTGCGAATGACCATTTGCATACCTTTTCTTTCGGCTTTCTCCTTGTACTTCTCAATTCGGGCACGGTCCCCGGCAGTGAGCTGCTTCCTCATCTTGGGAATGAGAGGCCTGAGGACACGGTCCCATATTATCAGATTAATCGGTTTTAAATCATGTGGAACTGTCAGTTCACTCGATCATGTGAGCCCCCCGGCCATGTTCCAAACAGACGGGTGGGCTTCATGGTCTTCGCACCATACACAGCCATGCAACTGGGCAGGTCGAGTTGTCGTGTAACAATATTCATATATACGCGGTGTGCGTGCATACAAGAAACTCAGTTCCCTGAGATGCCCACAAGCTTGTTGTTTTCCACAAATTCCCCAACATGGATTCCAAAAAGGTCACGTAGGGGAAGTGCTTCATCACTGAACTCGACGGTTGTTCACAAACGAAAAAGGCACCACGGACAGTAGCTAATATGAAAATCATTACCAATCGAGTTGTAATCCTTGGTTTGTCGATCCAAGCAAATGCACGATGATCGAAAGGCTGTTCATTGGTTCCACTTTCACAAGAGCTGATGATATTCTTGATCCCTCGTGTTTGGGGGCTTGCTCAGCTACCAGGGGTTTGACCTGACAAGCATCTTGCAATTATTTGCAAGACTACTGAGAGACAAAAGTGCTGAGCAAAACATTGCTGTTTGGCCAGCTATAGGTTGCTTGACCACTGGATGAGTGAATGTGCGCTCTGACAAAAACATGGGGAACACCCCATTATTGCTCGTCGCATAAAATGTCGTCATCAAAATGAGCCTAAATGAAATCACTTAAAAATCTTAAAACTACATGTGTGTGGGACCCCGATATTGCCTCAATGACTGAGATCCTTTGTATCTATGCTCAGTACAGGTAAGTAGAATCGGAAGAACCTTAGAATCTGATCAGCTTTACAAATCTAGCTGAACATTTGGAAGGAGCATGCCAGTGTTTGTATAAACTTCAAATCATGTTTGAAGTACAGGGGAAAAGGAATTGACTTGAAATGTGGGAAACCTCAGGGGTGTCCGTACATTTTTTTCGGGTTCCCCGCTGGCCGGCGCCGGGCTGGGTGGCTCAAGTGCCCTATGTGGGACAAATGTCAGGGGCCCAGAATCGCACTATGTTGGACTTGAAATATGTTGTTGAGCCACCTTGCGCCCACCCCCACCGCTGCCGCAGCCAAAGGTTTTGGCGTGGCAACATTGGTCACCTCAGCCCGGAAGGCAGGGTGGGGTAGAGTAGATGCGTGCTCGGGCAGAGGTGTTGATACTGCATCTATCATGATGGCCAGAAGTTGTTTTCGTGGTGGGTTCTCTTCAGGGTTGTTTCGCGTGACTTTGCTCCAGGCAGTGATGCCACCTTCAATGTGTGGAGCCCTGATGAGATCAACGGGACTTCAAACCGTTGAGCCCAGGGTTGTAAGTAGTCATGTTCTTTCATGAAACCTATCATGAATCGAAGGGTTTTCATTTGATCTTTTTCATATGAGTTGCAGGTTCATGCATTTCGCAAAGCACTGAACTCGCACACGCCCCGCTTTATCTCAAACCTTTGGATTCTCCAAGCTGCCGGGTGTAAGGCTGGATTTGGTTCCCAGCATCAAGTCATGTGCACTTAGTCCAGAACACTTTACGGTTTGCTCGCCAGGGCGCCACGCTGGGGCTGGTGCTTTGGTACTACCCGGAGGCCAGAGACCTCAGGAGGCTTGGTCTTTGGATATCTCTTGCGGTGCCTCATCCTAGGTTTGGGATGTCCAGCCACCAGGACTCAGATCTTTAGCCAAGGGATTGAGACACTTTGAACACTGAAATTTCAATTGGCATTTTGGAGGAGAGCTCTAATAGAACCATGTCTCGATCCCGGACCCCAACCAGAGGAGAAATTATCGTCTGGCCTTCAGACTGCTCCTGTTCACACAAGATTTAGCTAACCACTAGCAACCACTTCTGATTCCTGATGAGGAAATTCATCATTCTGTTCCTGGCCCTGCTTCTCCAAAGATCCGGCGGAAGGTCCGATAGGGTGCTTTTCATTCATGCCTGCTGGGCAGTATAGAGTGCTTTTCACCCCATTTCACTGCAGAATGCGATCCGCAATTGGTCTCGAGCGTTTTGCCCTGAGCATTGGCATAGTTTTACAAACCTCATGTGATTTGTTTTTGCTTCTCAGGACTCAAGGCATCGATCTCCCGCGGCCAAAGGACAAGTTCGACGCGATGTCACCCGAAAGTTTGCGAAGGATTGGGGTTCATGATTGCGAAAGTTTTCATGTTTGCCATGCCATTGTTTCCACAAACATCGGAGTCTATGAGGACAGCCCGGGGCTTGCAATCACGACTTGATGAGCTTGGGGCTCAGTTCAAACACCATCTTGCTGGATTTGTTTTCCTCCTGAGTCAAATTCGTTGGGATGTTAATAATCCACAGGATGGACGTTATTTTGAAGTGGGCCAACTACCCTGCATCCTATAGTCAGGTCCTCGGCCTCCCAGTGCCAGTACACAAATTTAGAAAGATGTTCGGAAGTGGTTGAAAGTGCCACAGCCCACAAGTTTGCCAAGGACCTGCGGGCCTCACATGACGATTTGAGCTGCGCGGTCCTGGAACGTGCGTTCGAAATGGGGAAAACAAGTCATCCAGGGTGACTTGAACTGAGGAACACAAACACCACAAAGGAAGTTTTACAGTAGCCTAGTTTTGCACTTGGCATGCTTAGCTTTGTTTTGCTTGAGTACATTTTGGTCCCAGTGCTTTAAGATGCACTTGTGATGCCCCTTGCTGACGTGGACCACCTCAGTGAGCCAGATCCTCAATCAAACTCTAATCAAAAGTGAGCGAACGTTAAATGGTTTCCTCAATCGATCCCTAATCGTTGTGTTTCCATTGGATCTCTTTTCCTAAGTTGCGAGCCCCTCGAAGAAGCTATGAAAAAGCCATCGACGGCAAAGGCTATGGTCATGCACATTTATTGCAAACCTTTTTCTATTCCTATGCCAGGTGCCCAAGACCTTCAAGCCGACCCCGAAGTTTGGGCGCCTCAAGCTCGATGGGACTGTCGATGCTTTCAAGCCTGGGAGCTGGCCATTTCGGCCAAGAAAGAAACTGGTTATCAAGTTGGTGACTGGGCCAAACTCATTTAACATGTGGGTGGCTTCAACTTGCTAGATTCGTGTATGAGTCTTTCTTAGAACTTTCTGCGTGTTCCTGAAGTACATGAGTGAGTCTGCTATTTTTGAGGATGTGAAGAAGCCACGGAAGGATGCCAAACTCCCTCGTAAAGGGAAGCTGGTTTGCGGCAAATCCCTGACATTGTCAGGGTTCGGCACGATCCGCCACAGCCCCACTCTGACATCTCACATGTTCTCTGCGACCCCCAGCCTTGCCAAGGCTGCTTTTCAGCAACGACGCAAGCCAACACGAAGTTCCTCTCAGTCAGGGGCAGTCGTGACAGGGTTTATGTACCTCTGATTCTTGTCGCCAGGTAAGGAGTTTATCTATTCTATCTATTATATACCAAATCGACTATGCCTCTATTCTATACCTATTGTAGTGTAAATAGATACTAGTCGATTTATATTAAACATTTGATGTTGCTTTCAGTCCAGGACTTTGCGACCCAAGTGTTCCATTGGGTTGACTATAAGAAGGCAGTTCGAGATGCCCAGCAAGTCCCCGGCAAATTTGTCACCCCAGAGCTCGGCGAGTGGCTCCATGGTCCAGGACTCACCCACAGTCCAAAGTTCATAAACCCTTTAGACAATTTTTCTATGCTCAGGCATCCCTTTGGGCTGGTCTAACCCTGAACCGGACAGTGTTCAACAAGACCCGAAGCTGACTTTGCCCTGGCTCACCTCTTGCGTTGGCTCGCCATGTTTGTCGTTGTTCTTAGTTTACCAACCTTGCCACTGACAAGCGGTTTGTACTTATCATTAGTGTTTTGCTTCTGCTTTGCCAGCCGCACCGATATCGCGTGGTGAGCCTCTTTGCCGGCATCCTTGGCCTGGATCTAGGCCTGTCGCGGCCAAGTGCTCAGTGAAAGGTTTTCCTGGTCATTTCTGGGTCCAGTCTCTGTTACTTTTGATGTTCAAGGTGGGTCCACTTCATTGGATTTGTATGGGCCCTAAATGAATCTTCAAAAGTGCACCCTCTCAATACCACCTCATTTCATAGTTGCGCGTGCGAGGTTGAGAACAACCCCTACTGCAGGAAGGTGATTGCTTCCAGGATCCAAGATGGCTTCTTCAACAAGGATTCGGTGGTGCATGATGATGTCACCACCTTTAAGATGTCACAGGTGGAACATTTGTCTCCCGATGGTCTCATTGGTGGATGGCCATGCCAGGCACAACCATTTCCCAACCCACAACTTTCACTGTCAAAATGTTTCCAACAAAACACATGTTTCAGTGAAAGATTCAATCCAGTACCTTGCAGGGTGCTTCAAAGGCAGGCAAGAAGCTGGCTCTCAAAGACAAGCGAACCGCTTTGCTCACTGAAATCTTTCGGCTTTGGGATTCTGCACCCTATCTGATCCCAACCTGCATGTTAATACATGTGCATTTTTCAACCATTCGCAACGTGTGGGCTTCTATGCGCAACGCGCTTCTCCCCAGGAAATTTATGATCTTGGAGAACGTGGGAAATGTGCTGGGCAAAGATATGGTGGAGATCCTCGAGTACATCAAGCAGGACTTTTACACACACAACAATAAGCTGATTTCACATCTTGTATGGAAGGTTTCAGGGTTGATACTTTCACACTTCCGGAAGGCTGCCATGCGGCGTTGTCTTGATCTGCGCTGGGCCTCTGTGACTGGCCACATGGTTGGAGCGCCAGCTTGGTCCTCAGTGATCTTTTGGCTTGAGACTCTCTAAATTGTAGACTGGTGCACTAGGTATGGAGGGAGCGGACCTTCTTCATGTTTCGCCGCGTTGGCTTCATCTTCTTCAAGGTACTTGACATTTCAGTTTAATTTCAAAGTATTCAATGCCTTTGCAGGCCATGCCGTATGTGGTCCCCAACGAGGACTTGAAGACTTGGCCCCAGAATGATTGGAGTGAGTCTGTAAAGCCACCCCTGAAGTCCTGGTTGGCCACCTCCAGCACGCCGCTGGCACGAGACCGCCTCAAGGCTGTTGGGAACTTGGTGATGCCCAGGGTGGCATACATGGCTGTGAATATCATTGGCCATCATCACCTTGAGGAAGGGGAACCCTCGCTAAACGCTGGGCTCATGTTTCTTCTATTCAAAATTCAAGCCATGCTAATATTGGCTTGGTTAGATAGATCCTGTTAGATCGCACTCGTGCTTGCTTGGGTGGCGGGAAATCACAGACAGTCTTTGCGCAAGGTCTTCTAGTGTATTTGAAGCCCACCACAGGCGGTGCATCACACATGTTTCAACCGTGTATTGTGAATGCGTGGGCACAGCAGTCTTTTTCCGTTTGGCCTCCTCGCCTCCTGCTCGGCCTCCTGGTGGTGCTGGCATGATTGAAGCCTCGCCATTCAATCATATTTGCATCGTGCGCTGTGTGTTTTCCAATGTTTTCCAGTCCAAGTCATTCAAGAGAGGTTGACAGGACATGAGACCACAGGTCAAACAAGAACAATCTTATTTCCACTCCTGTCTACCTCCATTGGTTCTCGCAAATCCGACTTGCTGTTGCAGTTGCTTGGGGGGGAGGTTCACTCCGAAGTGCAGGCTTGATATAAATATAAGCTATCACTCATTCTTGCGCAACAATCTTCGAACTAGGTCGAAGCACCATCCACAAATGTAACAAGTGTGCTGCGTTGACAGTGGGTACCCAAGACTCAAGACCCAACAGCAACATTATACCTAACGAATATAACATAAGGAAACTAAGAACAACATCTTCTACATACTCGGCGTCACTCGGCTTTGCTATGGTCCACTGGTGATGTTGGTCCACTTGTCATCGAGCTTGTTGCCATGAGCTTAGTCAGTAAGTACCTTTACTGAGACTCGGGCTTGAACTTGCTTCCCCATCTTCTCTCCTGTAGGTCAGTGATTGGAAGACCTTTCCTCTTCGCTGAGAGGCTCGGATTGGGATCAAAACACCTATTTGTTATGTCTCTACCAAAATAGCTTTTGAAAATGAATTGTGGATGTTGCTCACCCAGCACTTTCCCAAAAGGACCAGTTTGGATCCAAATGTCCATTCCGTTGCAAGACATATCTGTTCTCAGTGATGACGACGACGGCCATGCCATCTGTCACCCAGCCTCCGAGAGCGGCAGGGTTGCCAAGCGCCAGCCTGCCAAAAGAAAGGTCGAGGTGACACGGACCATGGTGGATCTCAGACCGAATGTGCAAGCCTTGAGAAAAAGGGTGGATGGACAATGTGGCTGCCTATGCCAATGCTTCAAGCCTTTTCGGGAATCTGCAACCTTTGATGAATTGACCAAGGTTCGTACCCAAATGGGATTGCTCGACAAACTTGACCAGGACAATTTTGCTTTCTCCTTAGATTAGATATCCTCGCCTCCAATGGTCTCTGTTTATGGCTTGGCTTGCGGGCTGACCAGGATGCCGGGGCTCTCGGAGCCTGACCCTGCTTGACCATCCCATTTGCAACCGAGGGTTCATGCGCCTCCTTTCTATTGGTAAACACAGATTTCAGAATCTGAACTCATCGGCGCGACAGGGCGATCTGTGCCCGCCTGTTGACCAAAGGTTTGCGCCTAGGGAGCCGCTGCCCCAGACACCCAAACGAGCTGCAATATACGATTTCCTTTATGGTCTTTATGAACAGGCTGGAGAGAGGCTCCCAGATCTGCATCATTCCAGCTCCAACAAACGCCCACGACGAGGGGCCCTAAAGTTTGATGAGAAGACCATGGACCGAACACAGTTGCGATGGCTGCCCCCAGGCAAAATCATGGACTATTTGCGTTTGTGTCGACAAGAGTACCCGGACATGAACATCAGTTCCAAGCTCTTTGCCTCTGTGGGACCCACAGTCATTCCAAGTAATGACATGCAATGACTTTGTTCCTGCATGAGTATGTCATGTTTCTTGGTGAACCAGCGTTCGCCGACCTGCAGGTCTGGATGACAGACTTCCGAGACAGGCTTCGCATCCGAGCTGAGTCCCATCACTCTACTTGCACGACATGCGTCAAACACCGGTTAATCATCCGTCGGCTACCGCGTGGCCCAGGCCGCCTTGCCCAGGTTTCTCTCTACAAGGCCCATTTGGCCCGTCAGTACAGGGACCGACAAGTCTATTGGTCGCACAGATCAAAAAGTCGAACGGAAGCCACTTCGGGTGCACCAGTGACGCACTGTTCACTGATAGTAGACGGGATGGATCAAGCAAAACACTGCTATCCCAAAAGCCAGGCAGTTCAAGCAAAGGAATTTGCTTCCTGGAGCAGACCCAGGCTCCAGGCCACCACATGCATTGCCCATGGACATGCCATCGTTGTTGGGTTAAGCCCTCAAAACACAAAATCCAGCGGGTCCCGAACCTTGGAGTTGATTGCTTACATGATGACGAAGCCTCTGAACCACATTCACTGGTCCAATTGCTTCCTCCACCTGGAGGCCGACAACGCAACGAAGGAGATAAAGCATCAGACGTCCCTCAGGATGTTGGCGACCCTCATCGGTCTTCGCCGTCTTCGTGGCTGTGAGCTGAATTTCCTCAGCTCCGGCCACAGCCACGAAGACGTTGACGCTCACTTCAGCCTAACATCATCCTACTTGGACAGACATCCCGAACTGTGGTGCATCGAGGACTTCCGAAGCTGTTTGCAGCAGTTCCTGGCAAATCCATCCGTCAGAGTTCATGAACCCAAACGCGAAGTTATTGTGTTTGATTCCTTCCACGATTGGATCGTTGGCTGAACACATTCCAAGCTCTTTCCTTATGGTTGTTTGATGTTGTTTGTGTCTATACACTCCACAGTGACTGTGAAGTCCTGGTCATTTGTTTTTGGGGTTGACCGGGGTTGACTGTTGAGTGTGGTAACCGGTTCCTAGGAAAGCTCACTTCGCGTCTCATTTGCACAACGTCTACCTCCGCGGCATAGGCGGCGCGGGCGCGCCACATCTCTTTCGCTTAGAAAGGATTGCAGATGCAGGAAACCGGGGTTGTTAAAGACTGGTCATTTGCTGCCTCTTTGCTACTAGTCATTGACTCATTGACGCCTCTTGGGATCCCTGCATGTTTTCCAGGACTTCGGCACGAAGATCTGAGCACGAAGTTTTGGCGCAGACGGAGGGTGGCCTTCAGTCCTGGTGATGTCATCTTGAGGATTGGGTTTGACACAAACAACCAACCAAGAGAGGTCAAGAGGACACAAAACTGATTCAGACGGTAAGGGTCCTTACCGTCTGAATCAGTTTTGTGTCCTCTTGACTTCTCTTGGAAACAACCGTCCATCTTGCAATATGGTCTAAATTATGGTTAGCATCTCAACCATTGTAACTTTGTCAATCATTGAACCCATCCGCAGGACAAAAAGATTTTTGTCGAGTCCAGAATACCAGCAGCCAGCGTTCTTGTACTTGCCCGCCTGCGTGGCCATGGAAATGTCCACTGCTTCTCCTCCTCCAGGCGTGACGATACAAACTGATCGAGCCATGTTCAAATTTTCACTGCTGCCAGTCTATGAGCATGACCCAGTGAACACGGAGTGCGAGGAGAGTAAGGCATTGCGGAGATACGCCAGCATCCTTCGTAGAAACCCTAGTGTAAAATCTTTCTCTAGACATTGTAAACACAATCTGCGGGCCACATTCTGAAGTATTGGAAAGCCTGAGGCCAGCATCCTTTTAGTATGGAGAGTGCGGCTATATGCATTGATGACTTGGCAAACAATGTCATTGGTCGCTATCCCATCTTGGATGTCTCAATGCCTGACAACTTAGATTCATCAGCTCTAGCTCTGAAACTTACCAGACCTTTTTACTTCCTAGATTTATGTTTTAAGAGCACAATGCTGTCAATCAGGTGCATCCCCAATGGTGGCCTCGCAGTTGGCCCTGGCGTCCGCTATGAACCTCCAGCGCGAGGGCAGGACTTGGAAGCTGCCCCTCGAACTCACACCACATGCTTGGAAGCCCTTTTATGGTTAAAAGAGAACTGTTCCCATGACTCGGATTAGTTTTGAGGCTCCAAACCGGATGAACTTGATTGCTGAGAAGCCTGATGCGGCTGAGAGACGGAAATATAGAAACGCACGAATGAATGCAGCACTGTACCGGGCTGCGGCCCTTCTATGGTCAAAGGGGGTTGATATGGCAACAGCTATATCTGTGGTAGAATCGGCCATGCGAGATTCCGGTGAAGTCTGAGTCCATGGCAGGAACATGCAAAACTATTGGTGGGCTTCATGTCCAGTCCAGTACAGTCCAATGCTGTTGTTGATTTGACATTTCGAGCTTAAGACATCATCGGGATTTCTTTGGATTCGGGTGTGTTACTCCGTGGAAGCCAGGTGCGGGTCACAGCTAAAAGCAGTAACGTAAGGCCATAAGAAAACTGTGTGTTTCAAGTTTCCCAGTGTTTCTTACATGCGCCTTGCAAGCCACCTGTTTGGAGCAGAGCCCTGGGTCGAAATCCGGCCTTTTGTGAAGTCTGCTTTCCTTTTGGCGGGGCATCGGGTTCGCGTGGGAACGAAGGGCGGCTGTCTCAGTGAACACCCACAACTTGAACATGTACACATGTACTGTGTGGGTAGCTCGACACAGCATAAAGCATTTTGGTGGAATGTGCATACACTGATGTTCGTGCATGGGTTCTGTGCACAAAAGTCAGCCTCCAAACAAACACCTGGTCCGTGCTTGTTGACAATGTCATCCGGCATGAAACCTATCAGTGTAGGTCGTGTCGATATGGGAAAAGTTCAAAACAATTTTGGAATTCCAATATCGTTTCGTGGGGCAGGGTTCTCTGCTTGATGACATTGTCGATAAGCACACCTGGCCCTTTCCATTCCCAAGTGATTGTTGTGACTAGGGACTGTGACTTTTTACCTGGCATCAACCAGTAGAACTACCAAGTTTGTGAACTCTGGCAGGTGCCACCCGGCAGAAACTGTGCTTGGGGTAGCTGTTATCCGGCACAACCTGGTGTCCAACAATCAACATCCGGCACTAATGGGTTTTGAGGGACATGGGACCCGGCACAAAAAGTAATTGAACTAGATGGAATCCGGCACAAAGCGATGCCTTATTTTGGTTGAACAATGATCCAAAATCGGTGTCCCGATCATGGTCAACCCCACCAACACCCCACCAACCAGCACCCACAGTTCTGAGCCACCTCACATGCCAGGAAGGTGGCTTTGATGGCGCCGAAGCGGAGAACCTCGGGGGAGGGGGGAAGCAGCAAGGCGTCAAAGACTACAGATGCTAAGCTTCCTTCTATCCCGGCAGACTCTGCCAAACTGCCGCACATGAAACTCTTCAACGAGTACTTGCTTTTCAGCTTAAGAGTGCACGATTCTTTCTTCGCATGTTCATTGTGAACCATCAATGAGTTTGAAACTAATATGAGCATGTTTTGTCAAAGTCTTCCACTCAGGGACGTGTTGATCAAAGACCATGGAACCTTCGACGCATACCTGGCCAAGCAACTGGATACGAAGGCCAGCCGCTCAAGAAATGCCACTCTGGTCTGACAAGCGACGCTGCAGGAAAAGCGAATCGAGTTCTACCAGTATTTGGATGATTTCTTCCCACCCGATCCCAGCGAGCTGAGCCCTCAGAGAACAATCTCATTGACTTGGTGGTGCTGCAACAAGCTTAGGACATATGCTACTGAGAAGTCCTTTGCAGCACCAGGACCTCATGTTCTCAGGTGCTGGATGCTCCCGTATCGCACAGACTATGGATTGCGCGGCACATCAGACGTGGCCAATAGACTAAATTTGGTTTGTTTTGGGGTTTGGACAGCTGAAGTGTTTGGGGCATACAACCTATACCAAATTCCTGCCATATACGTTCATGCATCACTGCCATATGTTTATCGGTGCTCAGGATGTGCAAAGGTTGCTATCGCAACTAATCATGCTGAACGGGCTGTGCACAAATTCAGATGTGCCCGGTACAGAGAAGATGGTGGTCACTTCGTTGGATGATGGGTGGCTCAAAAGCCCAAGGAACTTTTTGTCTGTGAGCGACATTGGCGCACACAAAGGTCTCCTGCCTCCTGAGAGCGACTTCATGGTCAAGGGCTGGAACAGAGGAGTCTGCGGAATCATTTGCATGCTGGCGGCCGTGGAGTGTGAGGATCTGCGGAAGGCCCGGCACTGGGAAGTGAGGCAGTGTCGGTCTTTTGATTCCTGTAACGCGAGGCTATGCCAGACAGTGTAACAAAGCTCCTAGCTCAGCTTGTTTTGAACACATCACAAGGCAGCCCTCTTATCCATTGTGCTCCAACAATTTGCTTGAGGTCATTTTCCAGCATCTATTGCACAAAGATCTCGCCAGACATTTCTGAAGCGATCAATTGTAATAGAGGAGCTCATTCTAGTTCACATGGTTTTGCCTGCTAAGCTCTCGCTAGAAGATATTTCGAATCTTATGTAGCAGGAGTGACGTTGACAAGCACATCAATCAGGAGAAGGCCTAATGCGTTCAATCTCGTCCATCAAATGCAAGCGATGCAGCGGGGAGGGTACAGTGGTGAAACCGCATTGCAGAACTTACAGGCGCTTGTGAGCTTTTGTCTTTCAACCTTGTTGGCAGTTCTTGCAACTTTTCAACCTTTTCAATCAACCTTGACTAACCTTTTCAGGTGCTGAACAATGCAGCTTCATTTGCCGCTGCTTACCAAATTGGTCGCACAGAGGCTGGTGCAGCGACGAACCTTCTGACGGCGGTTTCGGAGAGCACCCGGGAGCAGTTGATGGAGCTAGTCAGGTGTGGTTTCAACTTCATACCATATTGGTTCGGTTTTAGTCAGATGTATTACAGTTACACTCATGTGCCTTTTTATACTTGCAGGATATTCGGCCAACCCAAATTTCTGCTACAGGACGGGCTGGCAGCGGGGATTTTCAACAGCGACTACAACGGTGGTACCGGGGTCTTCCACCAGTGGCAAAAGCTTTTGGGTAACTCGCAGGACCTTGTGGATACAATGATCAAACGCATGCGGCTGGACTTTGAGTCTCTGAACGCCAAGATGCGGAAGCCATGGAATCAAGTCACGCTTGACTCTTTTCTTTCAAAGCCAGGAATCAATATTGAAACATAACATCGGTGCTTGTTTAGGGTCCATCATGGCACCAGGCTGAGGAAAAGGGCTCAAGTATAAGATATGAGGTTGGGAGACATCACCCCTACCTACTATACTCGGCCCAGGAACAGCTTCAGCGAGTTTGCGGTGGCTATTGCGCAGCGATGGCCCGGTTCAAGGAGCTGGTTCCGAACAAATACTATGATGATGTGAATTCAGAGATCTGTGCAACGCTTCTTGTTGAAAGTTATCCATTGACAAATTTCAACCATCAAACATCATCAACAATCTTCAACCACTTCTTCAAGCATGATCGAACTCAGGTTTATGAATCGTCACACCGATGCCGATGTGTTGAGCATGCTGCAGAACTCAGTTCCCCCTATTGACATTGGGAGAATCGATGTGTTCAAGACCCACCTGGCAAAGTACCACCAGAAGGCACCACTTTAACGTTTCTTGCCTTCCTGCCTTCCTGTCTTCCCGCCTGCAGGTAGATGATGACAAAGCAACCAAAGCAGCGGAGCCTCTTGGCGAAAATCCGGCTCATTTCGTCACCATATTTGTGGGTCGCTCATATCAAAACATGTGCCCCAGTCTGACTTCAAAAAATGATTCATGTCTTTTACGGCTAACATATGCTTAAAGAACCTCATCACAAGCGGCTTTGCTCCAAACAACATGGTCTCAAACAGAACTGGGCATCGAGAAGGATCTCGCTGCTTTGTCACAGTGGGCTGCCAAATTTGAAGTCTTCGCATCGCAGCAGGCATGCAAACAATCCCAGCTTCAAAGAAGTTAGCAGTCCAATGGTTTGGGTGACTTTGTTTTCGTCCGGTTGTCCAACAAAAAATATCGCTTCTTTGCAGGGGGGGCTGGATGTCCAGTACCTGACATCCGGATACGATCGCGGCAAAGCGGCTGTGGCAAAGATCATGCAGGATCGCCATGCGTTTGCCGTCCACAGGCAAATCTCTCTTGCGCAAGGGGAGATAGTTGAGAAACAAGCTGCCTTGGGGAGATCAGCGTTTCTTAGTTGAAATGTGACTGTTACTTTAATCATTAGCTTCTTGGAAAGCTTGCTTGTAGTGAAGGTTGTTGATAATTACTGTAGTTAAGATTTTGTTGTGTCCGCTGAGATTGACCATTATGATCGTCGACTGCACCCTTTGGCCCGGACGAGCCTTGGCTGATTGCTTGCGTGAAATGTTTGGAGTCATTGCTGGACTTACTGGAGTCTTTGTTCTCTTCTCTGCTTTGTTTCGGAAACGGCGTAGCGCTTCCAGGTGCCATATCTGTGGACGAGAGCCTTGCCCTGGTTCAGGCCATTTGTGGAGGCAACAGCTCCACCTTGGGTTTCGTTCTGATGCCGCAGCCTCATTCCTCTGCAACGCATACCGCTATTTTGGCCCATCGTCGCGCAATCGAGAACACATGCATCGCGAAGCTTGACTGCAGTGAGTGAGTGCATGCAGTGCGTGTTTAGTGGGACTGTGGCACTGTGACCTGCTTAGAGTAGTCGTTCACTAAACTAAGAAACCATGGCCTCTAGGTCCTTCGACCTCCAGGAGATCAGCCTCGTTTACAATGAGAGCACTCACGGGGGCGACCGGCGAAAGACGAATCAACAATGTTGCCAAGCTTCCTTTAATTAAGGTCCCAGGTCCCACTGTTCGAGTATATTTTTCATGCTCTTGGTACATCTGCGCAAAGCATTTCTTCAGGCTTGGCGATTACATCGGGAAACCACAAGCACATCGAGTGGACCAAGAGCAAGATCATGTTGGGATCAACAACTGGAGTGGATAGGTCCCGAGTCAACGAACTCCAGAATCCGGAGGAAGATCGGCCATTAGCGCCGCATTGGCGGGTTCCTGGTCTCAATTATTATGAGTCCAACCAGAATCAAAAGCTTCGATCAAAAACCTTGGAAGTTTTTTTTGAATCAAAACTTTGGAAGTCTTTCGTCAGGTGCAACAGCGGGGCATCGATGCTAGCAAGGCTATCCTGAAGAAGCTTTTGGAAGGCTTGCAGTTGCCTGAGAATGCCCCCATCTTGGTGGTGGATTGCCTTCCCAACAGGCCTCTCAAGCTTGCTTCATCAGCGTTTGTATTGTTTTTATGTACCAGTGAAACCTTGAAGGAAGTATACCTTAGTTAAACATAGCCAAACTTAACAATCATATCGATTTGCTGAAACATTTCAAGTCAAGGTTCGGTGAGTGGTCACAAGCTTGTGCCCAACTGCAGCTGGCGTATGTACTTGGCCAAGACAAGTCAGTGTCTTGGAACTACATGGGCATCGTCTTGGGTGATGATGCTGGGATCATGCATTCTTTGTCGTCAAAGACAGCTGGCCAGTTCATGGCAAACTGGTGGGATGTAAGTCAAGAAGCCGGCCCAAAACGGAGGTCACGGACTCCCTTCTCCGAGCCTGTTCCCACAATGGAGATCCTGGCAGTGGCCAATGGTCAGTGCAAGAAACTTCAACTTTGCGTATAACACTGTTTGTTTTGTTTTCTCCTTTGGTTGTAAGTTGGCTGTAAGCCGTCGTATGTCTTTAAGTGGGGGATATTGTGCCAATAGTCTCACTGAGGATTCCAGATTTGGTGAGGAATAAGTACGTGGCCACCCAGTCTGCTGCTGTGACCAAGATTGAGGACGCTATCGCCCGCAACAAAAACCTCAAGGTAGCTTTGCAGGGGACATTGGATGAGTCGGCTTCCACCCTACCATCCAGTTCTGGCGATGTTCCGGCTGATTCGGGATCAAGGACCCTGGCCAGCCCTGACTACAGTGGTGCGATCGATGTCCCAAATTTTTCCACCAGAGTGCATTTGGAGGAGAAACCCATGGATGAGTTCACAGCTGGTCGAACGATCCTTATCGCGTACCAAGAAATGTTTTGGTCTTTGTTCTTTGATCAATATTTGCTCTCATTGTTCTTTGTCTTTTTTAGAACTGGAATTCGTTCAACTATTTAGAAATATGTTGATGCTTTAGCTTGACATTGAGGATTCAATGCCAAGCGCAACTTCAAAACTCTGACTTGAACGTCGCGCGGGACAAGAATGATGGATCTTTGTGGTTGACCAACTCCGGCGACAGTGCTGCAGAACTGCAAGCCCGGGAGATACTTGGGTTCAACCTTGGGTCTTTTGCTGAGCTGACTTCAGGATCTCTGATGCTTTGAATGATTTTGTTTGTAACTATAAATGAAGGAATCGCAATTTAGTGAGAACCAATAAGACCAGCTTAAGCTTACAAATAAGTGAAAACTAAACACAGACTGGACAATGACCCCACTTAATCCCCAGCAAGCCGTGCAGGAGATGCTGCCACGGTTGCGGATGCAATTCCATGGTTGATCACCTCGGACTTGCAGGTGGTTTGCTTGGTGTCAGTGGATACCAATGGATTCTCAACCAAAGAGCTCATGACGGTGGCAGATGTTTGCTGCTGGATCACAAAAACTCGTGGGGTTACGGAAGCAGCTATGTTGGACCACGACATGGCACCGCTCACTGAGGAGCTGCTTTATTTTTTTATGTTCCCTCATGACACCCTCTATGTTCTAAGAAAAGCCTGATTTGACAGGTACTTGTGGAACTTGTGGCTGATGTTCTGTACCCTCTTGACAGGAGACACCACATGGCCGAACACCAAAAACATTCCGCTATAGTGTGACACCGCGAGCAAAAGTGAATTGCTTCAAGCCAAAGAAGCTGGAAGGTGACCCAGCAACTTCAAGATATTCCCAATTTGGTGCTATCTACAGCGATTTCAAGCAATTGACCAGTTCTTCCAGCCTCGGCATCGTTTGGGAGGTACCTTTGGGCAAACAGGAATGTAAAACAAACTTGGAACAATGTTCAACACTTGATCAACATCAACAGCCCAAACTTTCTCTCCCCTGAAGGTCAAAGTGGCAGATGGTGTTCCGGCTGTGATCACACCGCTAAAGCCGAAGTATTTCTTGAAAGGCGTTACCACGGTTGCAGCCAAAACGGCTGTGAAACTGTGAAATTGTAGGACATGGGACTCCAAGCCCCATCATGATGGTTTCAGCTTTTGTTTGGGGAGTGTGACTCTAAACCAGTGGATTGGTGTTACCAGTGTTACCATGTTCTGTTAACTTCAATCACATGGGTTGTCTCTGAATCACATGGTTGGTTCATTCAGTGTTCACATGTATTTCTAAGCTATGTGTTTGACCATGGTTGACCAACCTCCCGGTTGGGAGAGGCTACACTGGCTTGCGCTGGGCCGCCGAACCCATAGGATCAGGTTTGCCTGGAAACACCTGCGAAGTTGCTGGAAAGGCTTTTGCAGTTTGCTTCTTCACATGTTTGCAACGAGCATCGCATTATGATATGCCAGTTTGGTTACTTCACGTACAATAGCGCGCTATATATATATATATATAGCATCTCTGCAGATTAAATCAAGCATCGGTAGCCGATGGTAGCGTCGATTTACTTTGTGCTGTAGAGCTATGCCTTTAGAAGCAGTGGACGCTTTGTCTGATGATGACAAAGCTCGTGTACCTGCTCCTGATCCTCCAATCCCAGAGCCAGAGAAATCCAGCCCAAGCACTTCCAAGGGAAGAGGGAAGGGTCGAGGCAAAGGAGGTGGCGAAAGCAAACCGGAGGCGAAAGAAGTGCGAGAACCATCTTCCAAACCAAAGGCGAAATCAAAGGGGAAAGCGAAGGCAAAAGGCATGCCTAAACCAACAGGGGATTCCACAAAAGCGAAAGGTGAACCAAAGGTGAAGGCTTTGAAACGCCCAGCTGCCTCTTCCACGGCTGGCGCTCCACCCATGAAGCGGCCGGCAACCGACCCAGAGAGGGTGTCTGCGTCCAAAGGATTGTACAAAAATGGTGTTTGGGGGATCAAACTGAACCAGAAGGAAGTCATCCGTGTAACTTGATGCAATTATGTTTGCTCTGTTGATCTCTGTTGCCTTCAAACAAACATGTGCTTTGATTTCATCAATGAACGTCGTGAAAGTCTGAAAGTCTGTGTGATTTGTTGAATATCCACAGCAACCACATCTGTCGCATCTGTCCATCTCTCCAGGTAAAGCCCCATCCCGATATCAGCGAGGCAGACTTGGCTGAGATCGCAGTTTCTTGCACAAGAAATTTCAGGTCTAGTCGAACTAGTAGCGGTAGCGCTTACTTTCAAATCCAAACAAATCTTATGAATGAATCATCGACTCTGACATCAATTAAGGCTGCGGTCAAAGAAGAGTTGATCCGGACCAAAGGGGATTTGGCGGCAAGCAAAGCCTTGCATGTATTCTGAATGCATTTAGTGTCCATTGAAACAACACATGTAGTTACATCTTATAGTTTCCACTGAAGATTTCTTTTCTTGTGCTAAAGAAACACTGCACCGGGTTTTGATCCGATGCTTGATCAGGAATCTATGCTCAATGCTGCCAAGTTGAAGGCTGTTCCCGCTCGCAAGGTTGAGGCCCCGGCTTTGCAGGAAGATGCCTGTGAGGGGGAGCCCATGGTGGAGGGTGAGGAGGAAGAGAACTTGGAGCACGATGCTGTGGAGGCTTGGGTTGGGGGTCTAGACAAAAACCATGTATGCCGTTCTTTTGGTGTGGCGGTTCACTTCATGTTCATGTGTGGCTTTGCTTTCGGTCTCTTGTGAAATCTCCAGGACATTGACTGAATGATCCTGGCCTTTTTGCTTCCAGCAATGCGTTGGAGATTGTGCCTGAGCCGGCCACCAGAAATTTACTTGAAGTTTTCGTAAAGACCTTGGAGAGCTCTTTCACAAAGGGTGGCTGGCTGAACTCGTTCTGAACTGTTTCAAACTCATGCCTGATTGATGAGCATACCCTGTGCAATTTTGACCCCATAGTTCCTAAATCTATAAATGATACTAAAAAAATATGTATATTATGATTCGCCCATGACAGATTCTTCTGATAGCTGGCCCAACTGGGACCAACCATTTCGTTATAGTTCATTGAACAGAAACCGCTTAGGGTTGCCATCGCTCGTTTTCCCCAGTGTGAGTGTGAGTGGTTGAATCGTCCACGGCAACATCGGCGCCAAGCGTAAGAGAAAAGCCAGTTGCGCAAGCACTTGGAACACTTCGCGCAGTTCGGAACCTCGCCAACCCCAATCTTGGACCCAGGCTCGAAACCAACCCGTGAGCAGGCCAGGGGGCTCAGAGAGCTACCAACAGAGGGGGTGCAGTGCAGAGGGCCGAGGGGCGCAGTGCAGAGAGGGTACATAGAACGATACACAAGGGGTGTGGAAGCACCGCGCGGGTATTCTTGAACATAGATGTATATAACGTAATAGACATTCAAGTGTGCATAGGTTTGATGTGACATCTGTGACTACATCAAAAACTGTATACTTATGATAGTTCATGTTGCAACCCGAATCACTTAGATTCACCTATCCTTTAGTTAGCACCGTCCCAGCGTTGATCAACATTGTTACTACTTTCCATGGTTGCGTCGTGTTTGGTGCTAGTGGAACCCAACAGAGCTTCCAACTTTGTGGGTTTCAGTCTACTTGGATTATTCCAACTTTTTTTCCTCGAGCTTGATCACTCCCAACATAAACTTTTGCATTTCCACACTTGGGTCCCCGGCTAGAGGCCAAGAAGTTGGCCATCACGGGTTGGCAGGGCAGCGGGTGGCCGGCCAGCGTGGGTGTGGGGGACGGGGGTAAAACGCGTGGGGGGACTCTGTGGTGGTACCCTTGTAAGAATAAGAATATATCAGAGACTAACTATTTACTAACAATATCTATTATCAAATTTTACCAGATCACTTGTTAGGAGTGATTTGGTTTAAAATTTGATCGGCGGAAGTTTCAAACATTTTCAAACTATAGGAACGTGATGTAGATCGGTGATGGAATCTATGATGGCTTCTCGCATCACTACAGCCACGCATGCTAAAGGCTTTGCTAGCTGCTAAGTTGCTAAGTTGGCTGCCAACTTGCTAAAACCCTGGTTGCATAGCAAAACCCTGGAAGCAAGGGACCAAGAATTGATTTAAATTGGATTGATCGATAATTGAAAAAAGCATCGCATTGGCTCGACGTACATACTCCCGTTGACTTGGCCAACCCAGGGCGGTCTCAGCACTCCGTCCGGACGTAGGACTGTTCAAGTACACGAAAGAGCTGCATGGCGGCCCAGCCGATATGAACGCGTTTTCGCGGCATCGGAGTGTCAGGAGGACTGCTCGGAGAAATCCAGGACTTAGTGCAAAGAACACTTTCACCCATGTTCGACTGGTTCTAGGCTGTTATATTATTCTATAAATCAATGAGCTTCAGACACAGTGAGAATGTCCCCCTCTGGTCCCTGTAGGGAAATATCATAGGCGGTCCTGAACGAACAGGCGTGCAGTTCGATCGAACAAAAATCGATTGCCAGCAGCTAGGGCCAAAACGATGTCATTCCCTCGCTACCTCGTTGATTTTGGATATTGATTGGAAAGGAAAGTTCAATCCATTATTCATATGATATTTTTTGAGGTTCTGGCAGAATCCATTCTTGACGGACTGCATACCAGCGAACAGATCCAAGCTGTCCAGGTCCTTACCCAAAAAGTACCCTGCATGCATGCATGGATCCAGTATACCAGGACTTGGGCCCCTCACCCGCACTCCATCCGGTCTCGATTGTACGACAAAGTCCACACAGTGCAGCCTGGGGCAATATTTTTGGATGGTGGGACGGGGAACGAAAGTCTGCCCAGGTTTGGATCACATGGAATTGACTGACGTTCCCTTCCGAGAAGCAACAAAGCTGGGGCTCCAAGCGCGAAGAGGAGTAGAGCTTCCCTCGAGGTCAGGCGAATAGGCATGCTCTTTTTTGGCATGGTGGACAACCCTCACCTGAACACGTGAAGTAACACAGCTGGCCTGGAAACGACAAAATGCTGCGGGAGTGGGCCCAATGCACATATTATAACATAAGATCAAACATGATCAACCAATGTGCAAAATAATGCAGATAGCACGCATTCAAAGTTAACAATTCATTTTTGAGCCATTGTCAAACTGCGCCCCATCGCAGTGATCTTTGTCATCGAAAGCAAGTGTCCGATGTGATCTGACACTTCGGACTGAACTAATGCTTCAAAAAGGTCAATCAAGGCACTTTGACTTCCGGTGTTGCACAAACCTGCCTAGGACCTAGCTGGATTTCACTATACCATGCCTCGACTGAGCTGGGCCACGGACTCAGCTCTCAAGGGGAGCCGGAGTAGCCGGGTAGGTTTTCTCCCAGCCGGCCAAATATTTGGCATAGACCCACCTCAGCAAGGTGAAGAATTGTATATATATATATATAGAGATTCGGTATATTAATTTCACGGGTCATCATCAACAAGAAAATATGATCATATTATATATTACAATATATAAACGCTCAATTCGATCGATCGATCTAGGAATCCAGACGATTCTTTGGGACCTCCGTACTTCATCCATCCAAGTGATAGTCCTTCCTGGTTGTTGGCCTGGACTGAAACTGACCAAACAGACCATCTCATAATAAAATTAGTTCACTCGATCGCACTGTATTCTAAACCATATGTGAGCCTTGAAGGAAGTTTCCAAATGCTTGTTCACTTCCATCACCACTTCCTTCCAGATGTTTTTGCTTTTTACATGCATTTCTTTGTATAATTAGTGTGAACAGACTGCGTGCATGGATTCCAGCTCCTCTCGCGTCTTAAAGACATAGAAGCTCCGGCTTGCAAACCTTGGCGCAGTTGAACTTAATTATGCATGCTGCATGCTATAATAATGTTCATGCATAGTATGTGTATTAGGCTCCAGCAAGACTTGGATGGTCGCAAGTTTTCCATCCACGGGATCAGGGAGGTTCTCTGGCGGCTTGAGCGAAGTGGACCTATGCAATGAGATATTAATTATGACCAATGCACACGTTCGAAAGACACAAAGCTAGTTTTGAGGCCACTACTTCTTACCGCGAACGCAGTCCATGGGAACGTCAATCAAGTCCTCGCGCAGCACCGCTTCCATCTCTGCAATCGCAGCTTCCTGGATCAGATATATGTGTTTAATTTTGTGAGTGCACACACGGAAATGCACATTATAAGAATAGAAGAGCCCTATTGATAAAACCTCATCATGCATATAAACCCCTCATCGATCTGCATTGCTGACTAGATGCAATGTTTTTGGCATCAGCTTCAGGATCCTTTTGAGCCCTGCTTCGAGACTGTCGAGCCTTAGGCTTCGCCTCCGGCTTTGATGGCATTGATCCAGATCCGTGCTCATCAGCCACCTCCTCAAAAGCATCATCCAGCTTCCTTCGAGCCGGATCATTTTTCTTGCCACCAGAAGCCGAAGGCTTGCATTGCTGAGTGTTCATGCGACGCAAACGGTCTCGAATGACAATGGGTGACTTCCAAGGACTTTTCTTTGGGCTGTTCGATTTCAGGACTTCTTTCTTCGCGTTGCTGGTTTCTCTTCTTGGCTTTGCTTTTTTGTCCAATTCATCCTTTTTATTTGGCTTCTCGTTCTTTACCTCAGCTTCATTCTTCTTGCTCTTCTTTGCTTTCTGTGCATCATCTGTTGAAGCTTTCCTCCTCCTGCTGCTTTCTTTGGTTTCACTGTCTTTGTCTTTCTTTTCATCTTGACGCTCAGTCTTGCCGCTGTCGTCACCATGGCCTTCCGGATCAACCAGTTCAGGCTCGTCTGTTTTTTTCTTTTGTCCACGTCCCCGTCCTCGTCCGCGTCCTTTGCCGCGACCTTTGTTTTTCTTCTTTTCATCATCTGATTCCTGCTGTTCCCGTAGAAATTTGTCTTCATCCTCAACTTCTGCCTCCTCCTCCTCCCTCAAAGCTTTCATCACTTTTCTTTGGGCCTTGCGTAATCGACAAAAAGTGGTTGCACCAAGTTCTTAAATTCTGATCTGCACTGAAATTATCAATAGATGTGCATTAGATGGACGCAGCAGGCAAAAGGAATGGGTCACTCCGAGCCTGAACAATGTTGCTGTCAGTGGCTTTGCGCTTCAAAATGTCATCAACCTTCTGCTCCACTGCTTCCTTCACATTAGGGACGTGCTTAGGCTCCTCCACAAGTGATCCTCTCTCCTGACAGATCTTGTTTTAAAAGTATGATCTTTGCGTCCTAACTTGATATCTACTAACAGTTAGGATCCCGGATGCTCCTGAATTGCTCCTGTCTTTTTGGCATCCTCTTCGTCCTCACTGCAAATGTTGATTGTACCGTCTTCCTCTTTCTTGACCTCGCCTTCAGTCACAGCATCTTCCTTACGTTCTTGTTCTTTCTCTTCCTCGTCCATGCTTGACTTCGATGCCTTCAAAGGCATTGCCTTCCTCAATTCTTGTTTTGTTTCTTCCACAACTTCTTCCACATATTGGGAATCATGAGGAGCTTCCACACCCTGCACGCTTTGACTTGGCACAGGCTCCCAGGCAAGTTGCGAATCCTGGAACTCCAACTGGGTGTCTGCATCGTCAGGATGGATCAAAGGATTTTTTTTGCAATTGATGGTGCACCAGCTGGAGTAGGCTCTCGCGTTTCTTCTTCTCGTTGAACTTCAGCCAATTCTTTTTCATTCAAAGCCTCTCCATCCAACACCTTGTCATCCTCCAAAGCTTCCTCTTCTGCATTTTCTCCCTTTGGTTCCTCCTTATCGTTTCCATCTTCTGCACCTTCTCCCTTTGGTTCCTCCTCCTCAGGGACATCACCATCTTTTCCATCTTCTGCACCTTCTCCCTTTGGTTCCTCCTCATCAGGGACATCACCATCTTCTCCATCTTCTGCACCTTCTCCCTTTGGTTCCTCCCCATCGACATCACCATCTGTTCCATCTTTTGGTTCCTCCTCATCATCATGTGGGTCTCCTCTCCAGCAGATACAACACGATATTATCTTTACATATCATTGCTGATCATATGATTTATATATCAATAAAATCGATCGATAGACAAACATGAAGCCTCGAGGTGCAGCAGTTGCTTCCGGAGATTCAGGCATAGGTTCAAAAACCTGTGCATGCTGAATGCCGGCTGTCAATTAATATGGATTTACTTTTAAAGTCTTCTCCATGGAACATAACTTTAAACCTGCCTGGGAAGCACTGCGGCCACGAGAGGGGCGTTTCTTTCCATCCACGGTCAAAAGTCCAGCCGCCTGATCGATCATGTTTTCAATTTAAATTCTATTGACATAAGACGCGCCTTCAGCTTAGACTTAATGATAGCCTTCAGGGCTGCCATATGTGGTCGTCCGGGCCTCAACCCAAACAAAAATATATGTCTAATCGTAGCATTGCATATCTTTAGGAACACGGCCTGGCTTCCCGGTTGGCTTGAAAGCGAACCATGACGTACTGAAAGAATGCCCTTTGGAGTCCTGATTCACCCTCAGCCCAAGCCTCAGCAAAAGCAATATCGAGATCGAGTTCACACATACTATGGGGGGTTTGCATGTTAGCTGAGCACGTTGCCATATGTTCTTCCTTCGTTCGCAATACTGGATTCAGGTTGAACTGTTTGGACGCCCATTGCAGGGCCTCCTGGCAAAGTTAACTTGTACAAAAAAAACGATTTCGAATTCAATGACTTCGATCAAACACACCAATGCTCCTTAAGTTCTGAATCTACTGGAAGCTGATCGCCAAATTGCGCAAAAAAATCCAGGAGATACTCTCCATTGTCATCCTCTTCCACCTGTTTGTGCCAAAGTATGTTTTCACATATATCATATAAGTTTAGCAACGTGTACATACAAGAAGTCAATGCTGGCACCTCATGTTCCTTGATAGCTTCTGTATCGAATCTGCTCAGGATCTCGAAGGGTGCCACCTAGAGTTCAAAGTCTGGGCCACATGAATGTACTAGCTAGTGCACATACCTTCCACCGATGCATTCACATATGCATACACGTATTAAACAAGCCAAGTGTGCACGTTTACGTCCTCTGCACTCCAAGCGTGAATCCAGAACCTTCTTCCTCGCTGCCACATACCCCGGCGTAAGGCAAAGTTCACGGAACAAGGTCTGCCAAGAGTAGCGATCAAAAGAGAATATCATAACGCGTAGTACAGCACATGCACACCAACATGAATACATCCAAACCACATCCCAGCCCCAGTTGTGCAAGTGCAACAGCATTTGAGGTCCTTGAGAAGAGAGACTTGCTGCGCTGTAGTGCGCATGGCGTGAAAAGTGCAGCGGGCAGAGAAGCTGCTGGGTCCCACCTAAATTTTCCTTGAACAATTGCACAGGTCAGGGCAAGTGCAATTACCTTTTCAAAGCAAGCTCGATCATGTGTGTATACCACGGCCCAAACCCTTGTTAAGATCATCCCTCAACAATTTTTATCTGAGCTTGCAAGAAAGGGTGGGCTGACCTGAGCGTGGCCTTTCATCATGGGCATACTTGTTCTCCAGCTCTTGCAGCATTCCTGGGCCAACGGAGTTAATATATATTATTTGATGTTGAAGGGCTGGATCTTGAACATGTTAAGGGTCTAGCGTTTGCGAAGAGCAGTCTTGATCTTCATCTCTGTGCAGAAGCCACCTCTTACCTGAGATGGCAATGATTGGACAGTCACAATCCTAGATTCAATGGGTGTTTTCCTTTCTTCTTCATTAGGTTGAGCTGAAGGGCCGTGTAAGAACATCATAAGGAGGCAGCCATGGGTGCACCAAGCACATGTGCTCGATCAAGAGCTTGGAGTTATATGGAGTTATATTATGAGTTCAAACATGGTCCTATGTCCAAGTTATTTATGTTCCATAGCTCTAATTGGGCATATGTGTGTGTGATCTGAGCCTGAACGGTGCACAGACCATGAGCAAGCATCAAAGACACCTCAGCCGACAAGGCGAAATCACGGTTTCCCTATAAATAACGTCGGTTTCTCAACCTACATTTAAATAATGTAGGAAGACTTCCAGGGTATAATTATTACTTGGCCATGTAGTCACAATTGTCTCTACTATTGTACTATTGGACCGAATCCGGATCCAGCAATTCTGGCAAAAGACGGCGATCAATCTCGGCGCGGATCGGGGCCTTCCGGTCACAGGGCTCGAAGTCGATCGAGGTAACGATGCCTTCACCAGTGGCATGCTCCAGCCGGGCGCCACCGATGCCGAGAAGCGCCGCCTGGCGCGGGCACCGATGGGGGGACCCGCAGGTGGCCTCTGTGAGGTTGTTAGTTTGAACCGGGTCGAAGGGTCATAATAATGCCATACATATGTGCGGTGCGTGTGTCTTTGTTTGATGTTGGGTTTGTTCCGGAGTTCTTTTGGGTTCCAGAAGATCTTTATATCTATAGGCAAGCTAAGCCTTGGGAATCATGGTGTTTCATCCCAAGAAGCGGATCATTGGAACCAAGTGGCCAGCTGGTTTCCGATTAAAGCAAGGAAGACCGCCATGAACATTGACCATTCCAGCTTCTTCAGTTCGTGACCTTTTTGGAGTCCCTGTTTGTCACCTTTTGTAGGTTTAATTTATCTATAAGGTTTCTCATTCTATATGTGACCTCAAACCGATGAAAAGATCACCTTGAAACACCAGGTCGACTTCCATTCAAATTGCTTCCGTGCAATTTGATGGTGCTCTTTCCTAACCCCGATGGCCTTTCCGCTCTCGGTGCAGTCTTGGCCGCTCCCACAGGCAGCTGCATCGGACAGCTTCAACTGGGCGCATCCGGAGTTTCCACGCGAACTCTTTGAGACCCAAGGGGGTGAGGAATGAGGCGAGAACGCCGCACCGCTAGCGGAGAAGATACAAAGAATACCAATGGTTTTGTTGGGCTAGCTCGGACCGTTTCGGGTGCGGGGGGGGGGGGGGCTAGAGGGGGCATGTGCATGCCCATCTTGAGATGAATGACATTTCTGACCTTGTAAGGGATTGGTAAGTCCGAGGAGTTTAAAACGCCCATACAGTGGCGTAGATTATACCCGAAGGGGTAACAAAAAGAGGTATCGAGGTGCAATGTGAGGCTCTAAGGCATGCAGACCCATACAGTAGATGCTGGGTAGGGTTCAAAACAAAACCATTTGTTTGAACACAATTCAGGAGTCGCTCCCTCCAAATCTGTCGTTCCCCTGGCGCGTGAGAAGCGAGAACAATCCGGAGCTGGTCGAATCCCAGCTTGGGTTTGTCTCCTCACTGACCTGTTTCCAGGACCCTGAAGACCAAGAACATCACGACTTTTTGAGCCAAGGCCTAGACAAACTGAAGCATCATCCGAGGCCCAAGTCATGGGCTCAGACCCCACCGTCGCACTCGATCCTCCGCTCGATCGAATCCAACTCAGTCGGTCAGTCCGGGCGACGTGGAGCCCCCCAAACCACCCCCCTATGCGAGATGGCGCCCTATCGAGTGTTTTGGAGTGGAGAGCAGCTGATCACCCAGCTCTGACTATCACAAGCAATGGAAAAAAATGCAGCTGATCACCTTCGTTTTTTTTGATGTTTTATGATTTTCTATTTTATTGGCTTCCACTCACTCAAATGGCCACAGATGGAAAGATCGCATACACCGAGCTTTGACTGGCCACCAGCCGATCTGAAGTCCTTTCTCGGAGCCCCGAAATCCCAAGTCACTTGAACCCAGCGCGGCCCTTTATCGTCCCGTTTTCGGAAACAGGAGCTGGGCAGAGAGCCGCGCTGCGCGCTTTTCATCGCCCCGTGGGTTCTCCCACGGCAGACTCGACAGACATCCAGCCGAACGGCGGGTGCGGGCGAAAAGGAAGGCGGGCGAAGGTCTGTGGAAAACGTCAGGGCAGAGAATCATTCTAATTTTGAACACTGGGCCTTTGCCAGTTCCTGACACTTCGCAAGCTGGGTTCCAGCTTGATCCTTGACGCGTTGACGAACCTGGCCATGTGTCTTCTCACAGGACGGGACTGGACACGACCGGACCTGAACTCGGGCAGTACCTGGTAACAGGGCGTCTGACCAACCGTGTTCCAGCGCTGCTCCAAACCAACCGCGCGGTAACAGAGCTCCGATCCAAGGTACCGGTCCGACCAGGTCGGACGCCGCGTTGGTACGTCGTGGCTCTTGCCATTCGACGTGCTGCCCGGATCAATCTCAACCTTCCGGTCATGCAGGTTGGTGACTGACCGCGGTCAGAGGTCAATCTCAGGGCAGTCTGATGAGTCCGGAGAGGAGTTTTTCGGAGTGGAGGCAGGCTTAGAAGATAGTATACATTCCACCTGTGAGTAAAGGTCAATTCAGATCGAGTAAGGTGTCAGAGATAACAAGTGATCGCAATTTGTGATCGCAATTTGTTCAGTCAAAGTACTATATGTCATATACAATACCCAGCAAGTCCAAAGGACGGGTTAAACTGGTGCGTTAGCGTAAAGGATGCATTTCACCTCCCAACTTCCAAGACCTAATGTTCACAGGTTTTTCACGGCCTTTCACCCTGTTTTGACAGGTTTTTCACGTCCTTTTCACGGCCTTTTCAAGCTTCCAGCTCCCGTTTTGCTAAAGCACCGGTTAAACCGGTGCGCCACTAAAGAACTGGTTAAACTGGTGCGTTGACCCACTGGGATATCACTCAACATGTCTTCTGCCATCACTCTTTGACGTCGCCTTTTACAGCTCAGCCGTGTTCGCCGGTGTACCGGGCGCGACATCGGTGTCGCGCGGCAAGCGGCGGTTCCATGGCGCCAAGTGAGAAAGGCCAAGGTGAACCGACCATGACCGACTTTGCTGGCATCCTCTTAGCAGTCGCTGGGAAGCAGTCGGTGGCCAGGTCGGCCAGGTGTGAAGGACAAAACCAGATCCGAAGTCAAGTCTGTAGATTAGACCGGGGTGTCACGACTCGGTAGCTATATATATATATAGATTATATATATATATAGCAAAATCAGTTTGATAGTTATAAATGTTCCCCAACTAAGCATTTTACTTTAAACCCGATGATCGATGGAGAGACTGCACAACAAGCCTATGCTCAGTCTGGGGCTGGTTGGTTTGCCGCTCACGTGGCAGCTCGAGGGCACATGCTGACTCGGGTGGGAGAAGCACATGCTTTGCGGGAGGACAGTGCAAATTTGTACATGCTTCTGTGAACTACCTGTTCCTATAGAGCACTTGAAGAGGTCTTTTGGCATGTTGATGTATGTTGGTGTTGGTTCCAAAGCTCGTGTGCCCTTGGCCAGTCAGTCTACTTGGACCCTTTCACTTCGAGACTTGGTGATCATTGGCCAGAAGAACACGGCAGCGATTGACGGCAAACACATATCCCTATGTCCTTTTGGGTTGCTTGGTAGTCCTGTGCACTCGTGTGCACTATTTACCACTATCAGGGGCACCCACCTTTGTCAAAGTAGTTTTGCGATGTCGGATGGTTCGCATGTTTGCCTCCACGGAGGACCTCTCGAGCTTTACGGCTCGAGCTTTAAAAGACGCGAATCAGCCGCTGGGTGAAAGCGAGCGGGGGAAAGCGATCATTGACCAGCAGGGACTGGATGGTGGGTTCTGAAAAGCCTGCACTGTAGACTGCACAAGATGGTGGTTAGGCTCGAGGAATTCTTTTAGTGAAAGACTGGGCGAGTGGAAGTTCCCTCATGACTCATCACTTACTAGTGCATCCAACAGTCGAACACCTACTTACTATACCTATAATGTAATCTTCCCAAAGGCAAGCAGTAGCCAGACACTCCATATATCGCATATTTGCCTACTGTACATTATCCTACCTTGGGGTCAACATGCATATTCCATACATGGCATGCTTGAGGCACGCCCCACATGGCACGCCACTCGTCAGTTCATCCCTCCAAGGACGCTCACTGCTGTGGAGACCTTCGTGTCTCCCTACACCAGTGCCTCGTTTTGTTCGGAAATTCCGACGGCCCGACTCCGGTGGGAGACCAACCTCTGGTGGGAGATAGCTAGGCTCTGCAATTAACACGAGGAATCATGATGGCTTGTCCCTGGTGCATTTTAAGGTGAGCCAAAAGGTTGATTGCAGATGTGACTTAAAGACTGGCCTCCAGTCTTTGACCAACCATGCCCTCGGCACGGGCTACTTAGGTGATGTCCCAAAAATTCAATGAGGTGATGCTCAATGAACATTCAATGAGATCTTGGAGAGACATCCTATCTCTTACAGTAAATCTTTTGAACGTTTCTAAGGCAGTTGAACAGAAAACAACGGAACACGCATTCCTCGCTCCAGACTCCCAGGCCATTTGAGACCCTGGAGGGAGCGCCTTGGTGGAGGGAGACGTGGTTGGACGGCGCCAGGGCCAAGAAAACACATGAAAATGTAGGATTTGGTGGGTTTGATCGTTTTGGCCGGAAGATCCGGAACATTGGGCCATGCGATGCCTAGTAACTTAGCAGGTCACCGACCAAGTTCTTGATTTTGCATTATTTGTTTAACACATTATGGACCATGGATATGTATATACAATGATTCATTTATTTTAAACATGTGTAGACCCGGTCACCGTTCTGGAAGGGCTCAAGTTGAATCAACAGTTTGGTGTTGACCTGAACTGCCTCAAGTCGTTTGCAGTTGGACATGGCCGGCTTGCTTATATAGTGGTTACCCTTGCACCAAGTCTTTGACATGCCCGTGACACCGACCCAAAGAGGGCCATATTATGTCATATTAATATGTCTTTTTCTGGGTGTGGAAGAAGAATCTATAGCTGGGTAAGGAATTGGATGAAATTGGCCATTCTTGGGATGCAAGCCACTTTGGCCTCCAGATCAGCAGCTCCCCCAAGGGTTACGAGGCTCGGACCCCTGGCTGAATTGCCGCGCGGATTTGCCCGTCACAGAAAACGCGCGGGGGACTGGTGCCCAGCGACACCGCGGAAGATCGGAGGTTCCTGGATTTGGAGCTGCCCGAGTTGGACTCCGATGCGGATTTCCTGCAACGCATCGTCCGAAGCTGGGCGGTGGGTCCCCGGAGTTGGGGGTCACGAGACAGGTCGCGACGGCGAGAGGGACGTCAGGGTTATCCTGGATCTTATCCATGTTCTTCCATCATTTTGCCTAGTAACCAGATGAGCCGGCGACCACGGGAGTTCCCCAACCTTTTGCTGGTCTTGGAACTTCCAATGTCGGCTTCTCTGCCTGCGGCAACTGCTCGACAGTGGCTGTTGTTTGAAACGGCCATTATAACGGCTCTAAGTGAGTGGGACAGGGGGTCGACGAACAGTTCTATAATGGTGGTTCAGAAAAATAGGAGTCCTTGATAATCTCATATATGCTTCTGAATTGCGGGTCAAATTCAATCTGTTAGTGTGTTGCTGAATCTCCATACTGTAGTATGCCTTGTGAAAACTTGGGTTTGCATTAGAATCCCAAGATATCCCAAGCAAGTCCAGGAACATTCCTGAGCGGGGCTAGATGTATTTTATATTGATCCAATGGTCTGCGGGTGCAAAGAGCACCAACATGAGCAGACATGTGGTCCTGCATAGCCAATAACTTGATTAACTTGTGCTTCTTGTTAATGCAGTGGAGCACCTTCGTTGCATGCTTGACTAGTCTGACATGAGCGCCGCTGGACTCAGGAAATATTGCCCACTTTCAGGCGAATTATCTCACCATAGGCCGGACATGGCCTGACTGTTTGATCCATGTTCATCCATGTTCTATCGTTCTGCTCGGGCAGGCTGACAGGACCGGACCGTGAGAGTCGGTGACGTCGGTTTTGAGTCGAGCGCCGGACATGGCGGTATAGGTCATCTTGGGGAATTGTTTCTATGCAAACCCTGCTGTTGGGTACTAATCGTGCATTTGACGTCCCAGTTCTGCCGGCCCGGAGCGCTTGGCGGTCGGCTTGTCCCGCACCGCGCGTGGCGGTGCTGCCGCCTGACCCGTGGGCGGTCAGGCTCGTGCGTCTTCGCATTGGCGGTCTATTGCCGGACCAGCTGGCTCCTGGCCATGCTGCTTTTGCTGGCCCTGTGGGCCCCTTGGACAACACGTTGGCCGTTGCTCCGGATTGGGATGGGTGGGAACTAGCGAAGAGAAACGTGAATGGAGCCCCCACTGAGATGAAGCCATGAATAGATAGAAACACCTGTGGACCTGTGGATAGGCGTTGTATGGCGTTGTGGGCTGTGAAGCAGGGGATCTCAGTCAACACATATCAAGGGTCAGCTTCAATCTTAGAATATCCCTGGGCAGGTTTTTCTGTTGGGCAGGCCGCCCCACAAGTACCACACGAAAATACAAAATAAAAGGAACGTTGAATGCACCACACCCTTTGCCAACGGCTCGCCCTCTCGCACATTTCGGCGCTTCGTATACCGCCTCTCGCTCTCAGCTCGTCCGGCTCGAGCGGCCGGTCGCGCCGTTAGGGCTGCTACTTCGCACGCGGTGGCTTGGATCCAGCCTGGAAGCCCCTGGTCTTCGGAGTGGAAGACACTTGGTCGAACACCCCAAGCCACGAAGACGGTGAATGCGGTGGAATGTGAAGAAGAGAACAAAGAGCGGGTGTGCAGTGTATCGCGGTGTTTTTCTTGTGGGGAACCGGACCGGAGGCCAAAAGCTGATTTGAAGGCTGGGATATCTATGCAAAAAGAGGAAAGGGGCTAGGAGTCAGCTGAGGAGCCAGCTGTGTTTCACCCGTTTGACTTGTGACTTGTGTGGCATTTTGGATGTTAAAACCTTTCGAATTAGTCGCCAATTCCTCAAGTTCTCAGATGTTGCAGGCAGAGAATTTGCTGGATGGCCAGTTTAGTCTCGTAGGCAGAATTGGGTGAATTGGATGCATGGTGGATGAATTACAATTACAATAGATTCATTAAAACTGTGTTGTATAGAGTTATGTTGTTTATGTTCTCTATGCAACCCCCGTGAGCCAAGCTCTAGAAAATGCAAATCACTTTCCACTATGAAATGGGTTTTGGACTCTCATTTTATAGAGTGACATGGTTTTGGATTATCCACATAATGGACATATCATTGGAGATCATTTTGCAGACACCATTTCTCTAGAAAATGTTTGGATAGACACCCAACCCATCATTCACAAGGGTTATTATATGCTATTCATATAGCCCAGACACTCCATGTATGCCATATATGCCTACATTGACCCCCCAAACCACCCCAATGTAGGCATATATGGCATACATGGAGTGTTTGGGTAGTAACAAGAAGCTACTAGGGGCTCCTGGCCGTACTACTAGGAGCAAGAAGCTACTAGGGGCTCCTGGCATCGCTACTAGGAGCAAGGACGCTACTAGTAACAAAAAGCTATGTGTTTAACACAATATGTTGTCAATCGCTTCCGAGGCAACGGCCTCACATCGATTAGCTTTGATGTACGCAGGCACCAGCACGCCTCCGCCGGTTTCGAGATGGCAGATGACATGCACGACTTCGGAACCACCGTTGAACCACCTGTATCATGAAACACCGCAAATTCTGAGAACACGTGGGCATAGAATTCGATCATTTATGAAGTTGCTGTATTTATGATGTTGCTGTATCATAATATACTTTGGCTGTATATAATAACAATAATATATATATATATTTGCTGTACAGCAGTGTTACAGCAGCAGCATTTTGTCAGGGAATGAGGGAATGAGCCAGCATCAACCACAAAATGTGCTGTTCACAGAATATCATAGAATCATATAATATCATACTGTATGTACATTTACATTTGTATAATCTAATTATGTATCCACGTGGCATTATATACTGCATATTTGCGTGTGTTATATATAAATCATATATATATAATATTATAAAGTATACAAAATACAATACATTATAATGCTATATTTGATCTACCCTAAGAATCCTTGCCCCCTCTCCATGGCAGGGAGTCGGACCCTCCATGGCAGGGAAACCAGGCCCTCAAAACCCTATGTGTTGCTTCGGGCCCGGCCGGAGTCTTAGGGTAATATATATTTAATACTCCTTCTGAGTGCCGGGCCACGGCTCAAAATAAAGGACGAGCCTTGCGCCTTGCCAGGCTCGTTGTCGTTGATCTTCTTAGTCTTCGGGCAAGTGGTGCTGGTGCTCATTGGCATTTTAGGGACGCTCACTATGGCACATGCCCTTTGCAATGCCACACTGTGGCGGCTTCCAGCCACTGCAGCTACTTGGTTTGCAAGGGTTCTGCAGCTACTGAAAGACTTAGTGTTGTTTTGTTTTGATTTCGGGCATAGTTGTGGACATCTCCGCGGCTGGGATGGTAGGGGAACCTGCCAAAATTGTGCGGTTGTTTGAATGGACATCTTTTCGAACATGGACACTAACTAGTGGTGTTGTGTGTTTGATGTCTTTCTGGGCATCGAAAACCATGCTTTGAGGCGCCGAATCAGCAACTCCGGGCTGGGGCGAACGCCGAGCCGCAAAGACCGGACCCGGAGTTCGCCAGACCCAGCGCCATCGTGTGAAGACCTTCGCCGGTGACTGCGCCAGCCATCGTTTCGGGTGTGGTGTTTGTGGCCTGAGCCCGTCACTTTGAGCAGCGTAGCGAGGGCCTATGAGATCCAAGTGAGGATGTACAATACCCCATTCACCGCATACACTCCATGTTTGCCATACATGGCCTATATGTGCCGCCCCATTAGCCCCTGAAACCATCCCAAGGTACGCAAATATGGCAGTCGCATGGAGTGTTTGGTGATGTTTGGTGCTAGCCCCAGATTTTCGTTGGGAGGCGTGACTCTGAAACGTCCATCGCAGAAGAAAAAGGTGCCTGGCGGCAGAAGTGTTGAACGGTTGACGATGGCTGCTGAAGTGCTTTAGAGAGGTTTTTCGGGTGCGGAAGTGCTTGAAGCTTTAGATTCTAATGCTGCCAGGTCTACTTGTCTAAAAGATTTCAGTGCCACCCGCGTCTGCGGGACACTGTCTTTTCGTTGCCTGGCTTTTCCCTTGGGAAGACGACCGTCTCCAGAGTTTTCCTGGGAAGAAGGGACGTCGGTGGATGTATTGGACAGAGCGAAATGATTTTCCTCGGGCTCTTGGACAGGGCTGATTCAGACATATGGTTTCTTACCGTAACGGACCTCGGTTAAACATTGGTTACATTTGTTGACAGAAAATGTTGCAGAATGTTGGTACGTAGCTTTGCTGAAACGGATTGTTCCGGTCAACCTGGGATATGGATGGATATGGTGCAGAGAACTGGGTAGTGGTAATTGTGGTTTTCTCCAGGCTGGGCTGGAGTTTGAAGGTTGGGACACCAAGGAGGGGTCAAATTGTGCCTACTGTGTTAGGGAACCATAGAAACCCTGTGGCAGTCAGTCACAAACCGTGTGGCAGTTTGGAATATGAATATTCTAGTTTGTCATTAATTCGATTGGAGAGCTACATGCAGGATGCAAGTCAAGACCTATTAGCACCAACAGGTTCTTTGCAACACACGCGTTCGATAGCAAGCCCGGATTAAAGTTCACGTCGATTCTGAAGCTAAAAGAACCGTCCTCGAACTCTCCTCGTCCTCGAACTTCCAGTTACATGTGGATGTTGTGCTTGTCGGATGCTCACTCCCAGGACCGTCCGAACTTTGGAGTTTCGTGATCGATCAGTGACCTGTAAAGCAGGCCGGGACAAGTCAGGCGTGACATCAAACGAGGGGATCAAGTCAGGTCACTGGAAGATCCAGGTCAAGAAGTTGTGAAGACCTTGCTTGCCCCAGCCACTGGCAGACTGGGCGGAAGCTTTCAAAGATCGAGCTCATCTACATGATGGACATTGGTTTCGGGCGTTGTGCATCTAAAGTCACAAAGACCAGACTAGTTCGATCGCAGAATTATCCTTGGAAGTTGGACATCAGGATCAGGATCAATGCTAGGACCGTTGAACTATGAAACTCGGCGACCATCGAGCACTCACCCCCTTTACTGCGGTTACCTTGACCGGAAATCAAAGCAGGAAAACAAACTGCCTGAGGTTTTCACATATCCAGCAAATCATACCCTTCTTCACCAGCACCTGGCAGAGCGCTATGGCAGCGCCGTTTGCTTCACATGCGTCCCTCCACGGCCCTACGCGTCTCACACGTCTGCCACGTGACGCGTCGTCGGGAGACGCCGCACGTGGCGTTTCGTTTGGATGAGCCGCTTCTTCCACGGCGGTGGGGAGACTTGCTGGGCCTTGTGGCCGGATGCGGAGAGACTTGCTGGCAGAAAGGAGATCGTCGATCCGACGTGAATCGAGTTCTAGAATCCACCAGGTGGAAAGGTTTAACCCAGATGCTCCTGGACCGTCATATACGGAGGGGTCGGACAGGGGGTTTGGGGTCTCTCTCGGGCTGTTTGGAGTGTTGCTTCGCCTGCGTGTGGCCAAACACCATGCCTAGCACACCGCCATGCTACCGCCACTCTCTGATCCATAGGATTTGTTCAACGGCCATCCCTCCAAAGCAGACCACACTGAGCACATGTGCACGGGCGTTGTTCACCGGGCCTAAGAGTAGGTGCTTTCCCAACAAGAAATGCCACAACGTTCACCTCCCTCACTTCGAACATCCCATCTGACGTCATTTTCCTCGACCGAGCTCCTGCCTGGAGTCCCCATTGCTACCTAAAATTGCGCTCGCTTTGTTTTATGCGCGTTTTCATGTTTTATGATCGAATCCTTGGTTTCCGCACGGTTCACGAGAATGTGCTCGAATGGAATCCGGAAAGTATAAAGTGCTCGGATTCTTTTCTTAAGGGGTACACATCCATACTGACAGGCCTCTTAAGGAGGTGGACATTCACTGTTCAGGTAAAGCAACCGCAGCGAGCACAGGACTTCATTTTTTCTAGTTCCTGATCCACTTACTCCAGCGTCGTTTGTAGTGCACCAGGCACCTTTTAAGGGTTGCCACACAAATGGTCAGGCTATGGGTGCGCCGGCTCACACGCTCAACCTCAAACAAACTTCAAGTCCAATACAAGGTGCAGTCACGCTACAAGCAATGGTTAACCGAGGCTCGCGTCCAATGAAGTCCTCGTCCAACCATGTTGCAAAGACTTAGATGCACACTAAACTAATCTAAACTATCTCAACTCCACAAAGTTGAGACATACACACACACACACAGAGAGATCCACCAGGCAACAATTTGGCGAGAGTATGGATTGCGCACCAGCGTTCAATTGGTCCTGCATCCACATCCTGTCAGCGGATGTAAAGCCTAAACAATGAGCAAACCACAGACTACATGCACGTATACACATATAAGGGCGAGGCTGGATCTCCATTTGCATGTGCTGCTTGGGCCGGGTTTTGAACAAAGGCCATCCACTTGCCCCTCGTTGGCCAGCCCAGGCTCCAAGTGCTGTGTACCCTTCCTTACCAAAGAGATGTTTCATTTGACCTACAAACGAAAAAATCCAAAGCTTGCAATCTTGTGCAAGTCTTTTTGCAGACATGAAACCAACATATTTTGGCATGACTGCACGCATTCAATCGCTTTGTCCCTCTCGATCCACCTTTGGCCTGAAATGCCAGTGAAGTACTTGCCCACAGACTCCAGGGTAAAGTGAAGGAGGCTCACAGCATCATCAGGCGCTGTCTGAGCAAAAAAATGGACATGCTATGCAAACGGTTGATTGAGTACTGTACATCACAGCTGGCTATACTCTAAGTCTACATGTGCCCTGCCAAGGTGCATGGGAAGGATTCACAGGAGGGCTTTGAATCACGTGCCAAAGCCATTTTGAAACAACTGCCACATCGAATCCCTTGCCCTTCAGCTTTGGCCATGAGCTTAGCCTAATTCTTCACTTGCACAATTCGCTTAGTTCAAAAATATAGGGCCATCCTCACACGCACACACAGCACAAGAAACTGCCAAGGAACGATTTGCACTTAAAGGTCTTCAAGCTAAACTCATGGAACGAGGTTGCCAAACGGCGGGAACGGCGAAAGAGGTTGAAGCTAGCGTAGGCAGCGTCCAAACGATCAGACATGTTCCTTCCAGGCCACCACTTCCAGCGGCATGCCAACAGAACCTCAACCATACATGTTGAGACAACTCATGACCAGGAAAGCAAAAGCAAAATCATGCAAATCCAACCTGTTTTAAAACAAGGGGCCACACAGGACGCTGTGAAGTCCTGGCCAAATCCCATGTACCAAGTGTGTGCTTGGTCAGGTGGAGACAACGTCGCTCCAAATCCAGGTATTCTGGATAGAGCTGTCGGAGCTTTCACTGCCGAAGTGCCAGGTCGGGCGCGTCTCCAAGGTGCAGAGTGAGAAAGGTCCCACCACCCCTGCGCAGGCTATCATATAAACAGAAAGTCAGCACGTGTGGTATGCTGCAAGCCTCTGAATTGCAATAGTGGCACACTCTGGTCGATGTGTAGCCACTGGATAAATTGTGTAGCTTTCCTTGACACTTTAGTTGGAGCAACTGCTAAATGCATGTAAGCACAGCACATTTTGAACTACAGATCAGTCAATTTAAACCTTGGCACGTTGGTATGGCCAGTCACCTCGGCAACCAACAAAGACACAATACACGCGGAGGGTGTCCTTCCCCAGGGGCACCTCACGCATGGCATCACAATTGCCCACTGGTTCACAAGTTGCACAGATCCACAAAAGGAACTGTAACAGAAACAATAGCATGACGTTTGTGCCTCAATCCCCTCTGTGAAAAGGTCTTGCAGGTCTCGAGCTAGCTCTGCATGAAGTGTCGACAGAGTGTTGTCCCCAGCATAGCATTCTCCAGGGACTAGCGTGAACAACAGCCTGGATCTAAAGCTGTGCCCTTTCCATGCCAACGCAGCAGCGAAACTTTCTATCATCACTGCTCTTTTGATTTTTCCTCGACCCTCATCTCCGTGCCATACAAACGGCAGGCAGTGCTGAAGTCTGTCACGGTGTTCAACAAAAACCTGAGCAGTGCATAATTTCTTGGAACTGATGCGACGCTGTTGTTCCAAGCAAACATGCAGCCTGGAAACAGGATGTTGTGGACAAACCTTCTCGTAGCGTGACCAGAACCTCATGACTTCAGATTCCCATTTCTGCACCTCTTGAAAGCTGTTGTTATTCAGCAACATGCCGCCATCAGTCTCGTTTATGATCATCCGCATCCACGAAGACAGCTTCAACACTGGCCAATCCATGTTCTGAAGCCGCCCCTGCCACTTGCAGGGCACATTGATGGTAGAAATTGCCACGGGCAAAGCCATCCCACAGCGTTCAATCAAGCGTGTGATGTTTCGCAAGAAGTGCTTCGGGGACTTCCACTGGTTGATGGTGTCGAGGACCCTGGAACGACCTCAAATGAATTGAGAAACATCATGCACATAATATCAAACACGTTGGGCACAAGGGAGAGAGACATGGCAACGATGCACATGCAAGGCACGTGGCCTACAGCACACTCCAATCAAACTCGGTAGCACACTCAGACACAAACGTGGCCCAATCGCAAGTTGAGAAGCTACCATCTTCGAACACCATACCTCGAGTCATTTGTGCAGCTGCCACGCATTGCCTGGCATTGTCAGCCTGGCAAAAACAATGGAACAAAGATAAACAAAGGCAAACGCTTCTGACAGCGATCACACTGGACTAAGAAGTCTGCTCCGGAATCGAAACTGCTCAGCAAGCTCGA